TGTGTATCAGTGACTCAAAGAAAGGGTAAGTATGAGTTTACAAATATAATCGGCACACATATCAATTTCTTCTAGTTCAAGCAAGAGATCTGTTAATTAAGAAATTATCTGAAAGTGAACCTTCTAAAACATTTCTATACCGACAGGTCCTTCTGCAAAAGAATAAAAGCTTCTCCAGATAAAGGTTATTTAGTGTTTTCTCTCATAATGTCCTTGGCAAGTACTGCTTCATAAATAGTCTCCCAGGCACAAAGTATGCCAGTTATTAAAGAAATTTAGTATGTCGCTCAAGAAAACTGAAGCCTTTGGATTCTGGCATTACACACAGGGTATAATCAGGATATGCCCTTCAACTACCAAGGACACAATTTTAGTGCCATTTGGTCATGATCTTACAGGAATTTTCTCTATAACTATGGGATGAGCTTTCTTGAACAGAAAGCTTTTCCAGAGATAGGAAGTTTTCATTTTTCAACAGCTCTATAGGTTTTGAATTAATTGATTAAGTATTTGTAAACCTTGTCTCGTGAAAGTACTGATGATGAAGAGCTGACAGCTGATTAAATGTGACAAATGGTAGTATTCAGATGGGGCGTAGATATGTCCATCTAAATAGTCTGGACAGCAACTTTTGCCTACTTTTTTTTCTTTTTCTTTTTTTTTTTTTTTTTTTTTAAGTGAAACTTTTAGGAATTCCTGTGATAGTAGTATTTACAAGCTGGAACTTCTCTAAGAAGTGAAGTGTTTCACCTGAAACTGACAAATGAGACCAATAAATGCCATCTCCCATCTCAGTTCCAAAATTATAAATTCACCTAATAAACACTCCCCTCCACCCTTGTTCAACTAAGGCTTATGTTCCTATGCAAAGGCTGTTATCTGCAGGTCTCTAAGTCAGATTGACCCAGTGCTTTAGAAATTCTGCCATTTTCTAAATACACAGTATAGATTTCTTGTCAGCTCATCTAATTCTTGCATATATATGGTTTGGTAAGTGGAGAACTAAGAGAATTGTATCCCTTAAATGAATTAGCTTAAAGAAACAACGAGAAATTATTTTCTTATTTTTGATAACATCCATGGTTTAGGTACCTACAGCATTCTTTACTGTCAATTAGGAGATAATATTTAGTTCAAGCACTATAGCTTTCACCACATAGTCTGTTGAGCATGATCTACTATACTTTCTTCTGGAGAAACTGGTACAGTTTTTGCCACAGATGGAGTAGTGTATCTTGTAGTTAAATGGACATACGTATATCATTTTACTTAAGTAAGGTATCGATAAGGCTACTGAAGTGAAATAACAACATTTGTACAGCAAGTTTCTTCAAACCTGTTTTCAGGTATGAGCCCTCATTGTCAGTAAGCTTGGATCTAGAGTGAAAACTTGGTATGCTATCAGCATGTTATCTGTACTTCTCTGATGAAAAAGGGTTGTTCAGATGTTGAACTGGATACAACCTGTTTTGCACTGAATTTGATGAATGATTTAATGTCCCAAAGAACACACATACACCTAATACCTGCCATGTGTGCTCTTAGTTTCTGGCAGTAACAGGGTAGGAATACCTACTGCCAGGAAATGACTGACTTGCCATCCTGCTTTTGATTCTCAAAATCCTTATCAAGACAGTGCATCTAAAGCCATGCTTAGTTTTGACCCCCCCCCCGCTAATTTCTGTGCATTTGTTTCCAAAGCTTCCTAATTCTTACCAGCTGGCAAGGTATAAATCCCATGCCAGTAACGGGCTGGCTTGTTTCCGCACACAGAGCACTGAGTGAGATCTTCCTCACAAATATCTATACACACAACTTGTGATCTGAGCCTACAATGATTACCTATGGGCTTCACAGAATCTAGTTGAAAAGGAGAAATCAAAAGTAATAGATTCCATTGGGGAATAAGTGCTTACAAACAAATTGTCATGTTTGTGTGAAGGATTCCCACTTGTAGGAATATAGTGGTCTGAAAAGACCTAGTGCGTCCCCTACAACCCGGATAACACACATGTAGCATGCAGTCATACTCAAGTAACTGCCAATTTTGAACAGAGGTATGCATATGCATGCTCCTCCTGTGCGATTCAAATACATGAGATATTGAATCTTGAAGTATCCCTGTTCTGCTCACACTGTGCCTCAAGCCACACTCCTGCTTTAGTGTAGAGTCAATTTATGGAGAAGGGAAGGCCAGCAAGAACGTTGCCTTCCTCCCCCAGCAAAGTGAGTATCTATGGTTTGAAATCCAGAGAGGTGCAACTCCTATTTCATTGCTGTCTGAAATCCGAGCTCCTTTCTTTAGCTGAATAAGCAGCATTGCACTGAAAACTAGAGAAGCACAAATCCCATTACATAGCACCCTGAGGCTGGGCTTCATGTTACAGATGTAATGTGCTCTGCTTCTTCAGAGAAGCTGGGGAGTGCATGGCAGGGGGAAAGAGATCAGTAAGTATTGTGAAAGAGCCTCTGTGAAGATGAAAGTCTCAACAACCATTTCCCTTAGGAAGCAAAAGATGAAATATTCTATACTACTTGCTAATTAAAAATTAAAACTGTTGCCTTATGAAAGAAAGGCTTACTTTTATCTTTAAACTCTGAAGTTTTTAAGACTTACTCCTAAACATACTGTGTTAGGGATTTCTCCCTCTTGGAAAATCCTGATATTTTTTCATTTCAAGACTATTCTCTGGAGTAGAGGCCAGGGGTGGGTGCACCCTGGTAATTTCAAAGCCTAGGCACTGTGTGGGTTGGCAGCCTGTGAAGGAAACCACAGCTCACCTTTAGAGCCCTGGACCTCCAAAAGCCATGGTGGATAGGCTTGGCAACAGGATGCAACTTATTTTCTGAAGTCTACTGAAGGGCTCAAGAGCATACCTCATGGGGAACAGAGAAGGTGAGAGCTTCGGCATGCTCCATGTTGGGGGAATTAGAAACAAGCCAGAGCTGAAATGCAGTTACTACCACAGGAAATGAATTCAAATTAAACACTGCAAACAAAACAGTGGGGAAGACTGAGCTGTCAACCTGCCTTTAGTGGCAGATAATCCCATGGCTGGGATTGAAACCCAGTGATCTGTTACACAGTTCCTACCTACAATGAGTTACTTCTGAGTTTATCAGAAGGACAGTATAATCTCTCAGTGATGAATGAGAAGGAAAGAAGAAAGAAGGACTATATTAAATACTAGTAAGAATTCTCTCCTTCAAATAAACTTACATCTGTTGCATGCAACACTACAATTCAGAGGATTATCAATATTTCTCACCAACAATACACTAGAGAATGAATTACAAAGTAAATGGACAAGCAACCCAAGAAACCATCAGTGTAATTTCCATTATGCTTTGGAATCAGAAGAAAATGTATTATACTTTTAAATATCAGTTATCAATTTTTAGAAGGAATACATAATGTGTATTAGCAATAACTTGATCTTATAGAAATGCTTATCCACATGCTTATATCATAAACATAAATCTGACAAAAATGTATCTTCTAATGTTTCCACGGTACATTATTCTGTATAATAATCACATTTATTGCATTATAACCTTATGTCTAATTTATCTCTAATGTTAGCAGAACCTTCACAGAAATTGCTGAAAATCTTCAAGAATTTTCTCCCACACCTATACAGAATTTATGGGCCTTGTCATTCACAGCCCTTGGTCACCCAGACTGGGAGACACCACCGTCAGACTTTAAACTCTGTGTTACCATGTGGGTGGTGATACTCCTACGGTGGTTGCTGAACTCTGGGGTTACCAACAACATATGATTATGTTCACCTGAGATGGCTGCCTCTGCTGCACTGGACCAGCACTGACAGCAACTGGAGGATATGAACAACTTGTACTTAAGTGCCAAAAGAACACAGATGAGACACGGTTCTCCTCATGCCTGGAAAAATAAGATTCCACAATCATCAAGCTGAGTACTTGTCTGATATCAGACAGTAGAGGAAGAATGCAGAGGAATTTTGAAACTGAAGTAGTGCTTGTGGCAGAGAGAAACACTAGCGACAACTTGTGAAGTCAAAAGTGAAAAAAAAAGTCAAGCTACATTTGCATCTTACGTTATAACTCTGCAGGCAATGATTTGATTTCAAGAATAGCCATTTGTTACCACTCTGTTGGTTAAGAATCAGGAAATCTGCCCAAGGACAGCAGCTGCTGACTTCTCAGGCTACCACAAGGTTATCGTTCCCATCTGCTACACACTACACTGGCTCTCCAAAGAGTAATGCACAAATTGTAAGAACCCAGGCCTTCTCCTCACAGTATTTAAGTGTCCTGGACATCCAAGAAACTGCCTCACATTCCAGAATGGCAACCCTAGTCTTTAGGCACTAAAGAACAGATCATAAACAGTACAAAACTAATTCATGTCAGAGGCTGAGATTCAAGTAGGATGAACTAAGACCTGTTTACTTTTGAAGGTTAATTCCAATTGACATAGGTTCTGAATTGGTAGCAAAATCCCCAAAGTTAATTCCACCTCACTTTGGGCCACTGCACTATTTACCCTGACTTCCTATATACAGTAGCAAGAGATTATCTTCAGAGCGCAATGCAGGTCGCAGGAGAGCTGGGTCATCTTCATGAGATGCCAGAGACCAGTCTCTTTAAAGCAGCAAATACACTTTGATAATCTCCTTGCTGAGCTGGCCTGCCCCTCAGTGGCTTTAAGTAAGTGGAGTGAAAGGGTGCACATGGATATGACCTCAGATTATACACTAAGACAAATGGTATGAGGCATTACGCAATTACTGCAGCTGTACAGAACCATGAATCTACCCCAATTTTCTTAGCAGCTGCTAAACTAGCTGGAGCTACTAGTTGCTAGATGATCATGGCTATGTGATTCTCTATTAGTATGCACTATGTGTAATTAGCCAACCACACCAAGTCACCTCTGCAAGATGCTGAGATACTATGGTTACAGAAGTAGCACAAAGATCTTTACTGACTAGGGTTTCTACAGATTACTAAGATCTTTAAGGAGCACGTTAAGTATGAGGAGCATAAGAGGGGATAGTAAAGGAGAAGGAGATGGCTTATCAAAGACAACGTTGGCAAGTGCCTGCCTCTTTCTGATTCCTGGTCTCTCAGAGCTTCCTGCTACTAACTACTGTTGTCTTCTTAGAAGATACTCTTTCTCATGCCAACTGTTTCTGTTTGCTCTTCTATGTCTGTGGAAGGAAGAAGGAAAGAAGTGGGCTTGCGGAGTTAACATGCTGTCCATACACTGTCTTCAGAGCAAGACGGAGGATCAAGAATTGTTAGGATGAAAATACCTATGGCAATTATTTTCAAAGCTGCTCTTCACCCCATGCTCCTCTCCCTACCCCAAGTGTAGCTCTTCTCTTTCTGTCTTCCAAGCTGGCTACTTGTAAATGACTTCACTTCTTTAGTAAAACATGCTGCAATACTCTACTGCCCAATCCTCATTAATCTTACACATTGCCATAATACAACAGAGAGAGAGTAAGCTGTTGTTGAGATAACTGGCTTCCATTAGCAACCATGTGATTGGCAGGACGATAAAGTCTTTTTGCTTGCAGGTCAGCTGCTTTTTAAGAAGAGGGCAATCCTGCTGATCCATCTTTTAGCTACAGTCTCTCACTGAGTCCCAAATCTCCTGCCTTTTAGCTTTGATACGGTTCAAGCTTTCCCCCTTGTATCAGCCCCTACCTGTCATCAGCTCCTCTGTACCAAACAGCCAATATCAGGAGTTTGACCTCAGGGCACAGTCCGGGTGGGCAGGTAAAACCTGACCACTGGACCTACTTCCTTATCTTTCATATCCTGCAATTCATGAAGAAGTATCAAATTCAAACTAAAAAACAGAAGCATGACCTTTTATAAGAACTTTCTGAAAAAAGGCTCTGTTGCCTTTCTAAGTATTCTTGAAAAGAACTGTCATCTACCCTATTAAGATAGAAATGGATCACAAATAAGGAAGAGAGGAAAAACACTTCAAATCCTTACTAAAGAGTAAATGTTTTTAATGTGTGCTTGCAATACCTTTTGGTGGTCCACGCAAAAATATAGTAAAAACCAAAACAAAACAAATATTCTAGAACTATTCTACATCTCCAACTGTGACCCAATAAAGAGAGTTGCCCAGACTTCTGCTATTTATAAAGTATCTGAAATTGATTAGATTCCCATGGCATACAGAGCATCCTCTATAAAGAGTTACTTACATCAGGAGGATTCTAAATCTAAGTTTCTAACATAAATTGAGAGCTATCATAAGCAACATAATCCCTATTTATGTGACATGCCCAACAGTTGGTGTTTAAAACCTTCAAAAATATTATTTCCTGTAGCAAGCATGTACACATTCCTGCCCTCCTGTATAGCTGGAAATCATACTGTCCTTTGAAACAAACACAGACTCTGTAAAGACTTATACCACTTAGGTGGATGACAGAAATGGTGCCAAAATCTCTCAACATCCTTTCCATTCAACGAAACTGACTTAGTACAAATTAGAAGATGTTTAGTCACTTCTGATGTTGATAGTAAAAGGAGAATAAAAAAGAATCCAAAAGAGGAAGGCTGCTAGTCAAGACTTGTGGTGTTTGAAGTCTGGCAGAGAATATCTTTACATACGGAATTCTGCAACTCCTAATGTACAAGTATCATGTGAACAAATCTTATAGCCACCATCTTATATCCTCATGTAGTTCACACTTATCCCACTGTGGATATTGTTCATTGTTATATTACTGTGACAATGTAACAGAAAATTATCTCTTAAATTTTTCAGTTAAAAAGAGACTTTAATTAAGTCCTTTCTATTAGGAGAAACTGGAATGCTTTTGCCTCAGGAATTTTCCCTTCTGAAATGCCTTTTCATTAGCTTGCTGTGAAAAACCTACTAAATTATTAAAAGCAAAAATATTCTTACTATATAGATAATTTGGTATGGAATTCTTTCTACATTTCTCTTCTTTTCTGGTAACTTTGACAGGCTCACAATGGTGCTGAAAAATATCACCAACATCTGCAGAAAGTTAAAGACCCTCCACATGCAGTTAATAATTCATTTCACTATTTAAATGACACATTCACAATTTTTTGAAATAATAAATCCTTTCTAAAAGTTTACTTCAAGTATGAAAAGTTTTTGAAAATGAATGGCTATGGGTGGATATAGTGTCAGAATTTACAGAGAGCAGCGAACAGAAATAACTGTGAAATTAAGATAACTAGATTTTAGTCTGGAAAAACCTTCCTTTTGGCAAGAACTGTGGAAAACTGCTTCCAATATTAAGGAATTTAAAATTAAATTTTATATCGAATAAAGATCAGCCAGTTGGAATAAAGCTATTTGCTAACAGTTTAAAATAATTCTATGTAACAAATTAAGGAAAGGAAATGTTTAATACTATGCCCAATTCTGCTCTCCAGGAAGTAGCTTTGTAGATAGGAGCAACTGCTCAGAATGGAATCAGGCCAGCACACACCAGGGTAACAAGTACACTCTTGCAAAAAGGTGTCACAGGATCTTTACAAAATTGTCAGGACCAAAATTTCATCTTATACCCATGTAACAGTACCATTAGTAGCACAGTGCCCCCTAACAACACATTGGAGAAACAGTTTTATGCTAAATTACAGGGAACAGTGCCACTAATAACACTTCAAATAACTGCTTTTCAAAACTAATTACATGGGAATGCAAAAACATGAAAGGTTCTTGAATTTAATAACTTCAGCATTGGTCAAGAGGGGAAATTAGTAGGATAAGAAACAACAACTAGTGTCTTACTTGTCTGAGGTCGATGAAAGCTAACTGCAGGGTGTCTCCCTGGAATCCTGGCACAGGCTCAGAACTAGCAAACACTGAAAAGAAAGGTTAAAAATATTACGGATGTGGATTTTTTAAAAAATATAACAGAAAATCAAGCTCTATGCAACATAAATGCTAGCTAGTGTTAAAATGTAACTAGTTTGATGGAAATAGATTAAACTGATAACTCTCAGTGATTAAAACTAAACAAACCAACAAACAACTTTCCCATCATTTTTCCTGTAATCCCATAAAATAATACCTTTAGAAGTATTAGGAATTTTGTTTAAAATTCTAACCCAGTAGTAATGCTACAGCCACAGAAACCAACATCTTTTTTTGGCCTGAGGTGAATGATTACTGAAGAATTTCGGAATAATACCAATTCCATGGCTGTCAACATATTTTCAAACATCTGCTTTTGTTACAGCATCCGCCCTATAAAAACCCCACCTCTAGCCAAACACCATAAAAGACAAACACTAAGGTGGGAGTTAGTTTAATGTGTAGACAACAGGTGGAAAGCTCTATGTGTCAACAGTCTGAGCAGAGCTGAAATGCATGTTCATGCCTTTTAGTCAGCTTATCAGTAATGAACTTCTGCTCTTTTTGGACCAAAAATAGGCTGTCAAAATTGGAAGGCAAAACTATACTCAAAATAAAAGAAACAGTAATGCTTATGGTAATGAAAGAAGTTAGCTATTTTTTTAAATTAGTAAATGATCAATAATTGTCAATAAATACTTCTTGTTGTTCATATCCCAGTCATGTGTTACTAACACTTGCAGAAACACCCACTGCCACACATCCCCACTCAAGTTAGACACCTTACTTCAAAAGAGCTTAAGAGAATTTTTCTTATGCTCTTCAGTTAGAGCTCTTATCAAAACAAAGTAGGTATTACTGTAATAGTTTTAGAGAAGTATCACCTGAGGCAGTGAAAGGTAACATTTTTTTCCAAGTTTGAGAAACAGATCATTCAATGGTAGAGGAAACAGAACGCCACATATCAAAAAAATTTCCAGATCCAGTGCTCAACTCTACAATGCTACACAGACTCCTACTAACATTTAAAAGTAATATAAAATCCTTAATAGATTTTTTTTTTTTTTTTTTTTGTTAATGGCTAAATAGAAAATTTTGATCATCAAGTGAAAGTAATATCCAGAAAGACACTGGTGTCTGAGTTAACATGACGGGCTGTATCATTTACTTCTGAATGTATGGTTTTGACTTAAAGTGGACCAATGAATTCAGATAGACTATTCAAAAGTCTAAAAATTATTATATGGAATGCAATTGTAAATGAAAATAATAAAGATTCTTACTTAAGTGGCACAAGAAGCTACTAAGATGATCGCAGAGTATCTAAGAATAGCTTAGTGATAGATGAATACAGTATCAGAATAGCAGCTTTACCAGTAGAGGCATAATTACTTGTATTACAGTATTGTCAAAATTTTTATGGACAGTGACATTACAGGAGAATTAATTAAACTGGAATATGACTTGATTCTTCATCAACTAAAGGAATAAAAAGTAGCAATCAAATGACTTAGGGAGAACAGTGTAATGTCACAGACAAATACTGGTAACAGTTGGCAAATGTTCACTGACTACTGTATTCAAGTCTGAATTTTAAATTGTGTGGTTTTCCTGCTTTGTAAGTAACATCAACTTTCTAGGGGAGTTTTCAGGAAGTTTCAATCTACCACAAAGATACTTTTTAAATAAAAAAGAAGAAAAAATTTAAAAATAAGTAGGAAAAGCACATCCTATACACAGCATTTTACAGTTTGCTTAGCAATAAACTTAAAAGCAGCCATGAGAAGACAGCCTGCACAACCACCAACCTGAAGAAGAACAAAACATCTCCAGGCCTATGAAAGCACCTTTCTGAAAATGCTAGGCTAAGGGATTGGGTGTCTCCATGGCTGTCTTCTGCAGGTATTTCATGGCCTCTGGGACCACCCTTTCTTCAGGGACAGACAGGCCTATGATGCTGGCTCCTGTGGTCAGCCAAAGAGAGCATTTAAAATGGTAACACCATAGAAGAGCAGGGAATTCTTAGCAACACCCCATAACAAACAGCTAAAAAGAGATAGGGTTGTGAGCTACATCAGCACACTAATAAGGAAGGATAAGTATGATGGTCAGAAGGAGTCTTGAAAGATAAGGCCCACTGTGTTTGATCCTGTGTAACTTTCTGTTCATACACAGGACGCTGAGACCAGCTTCCCCCATTAGAATCTGAGCTCCTCCAGCCACTCCACAATGGTAGCACTGCTGTAACACTTTCTTCTCCCAAAGGAATGGCTACAGAACTGAAAAGTGAACATAACTGAAGAGTGTGACCTGCAGCAAAACTTTTCAGTTAACTATGGGCACTTGATACTTTGGGAGGTACCTTCCTATAGTGGGATACTTGCCACAGGTCAAATATTTGCATCCTTTCTGCAGCTCATCAGGAGAACATAGTTTGGAATTTATCCTCATGCATTAAATAATGTAGTATGATTTAGTTTCTCTACATAGTACCTACTACCATTGCAGCTACAGAACAATAAGCACACAAGGAACCAAACAATTATTGTATAACCTTTGTTCCAACTACAATTTTAAATTATGAATGCATTTACAACACCAGAGACACTCATTATAGAACATGCATTTATTCTCACATTTGGGTCATATTTGACAGGTGACTACAGTAGAATTTGTTTCATTATTACAATTTCATAAGTTCAAAGGGCAAAAAGCTAATCTACTTATGGTAACAGACAGTTCCCCCTCCACCCTCAGCTCAGGGCTTTTAAGTTTTGCTAACAATTTTACAAAGCTAATTAAATATTTTCTTCTGCACAGCATTTTAGGAAGATATTATAAGAACAGGATTAACATTCTTAATGTCTTTGTCCTAAGGGTCCTTTTCCAGATAGTAATGAAACATTATCATATATACATCTTTTAAAATGTTCACCCCCTACATTCATTCTAGGCTTAGAGGATTTGGAGGGGTAGGAAGCTGGTTGAGTGTGCATAAGAGTATTCAAGAATTTTATCATATATGAGATTGAAATGCAAAAGTCGCCATTAAACTGTCACATATGGGGCAAACAACTGGCTGCTTGGCAGTTTGAATCAGAAACTCCAACGGTTTTGGGAAAATAAGCTGCAACTATGTATTAGATGAATCTGGTATTCACAAGGTTTTTTGTTAACATCATCTTTTCCTGAACTTTGCTGATATTGTGTAGATCTTTTCTGTGTATATAAAATAGGATCTTTGGCACAATGTGTGTCCACACTATGTACAATCTCAACATACTTCCTACAATAGTAAGCCTGGGACTTTACAAGAGGTATGATCTAATAAAAAAGTAATAATACAAAAACAGGCTGGGAGGTAACACATGCATGAGAATGGTAAGTTTACATATTGTAAAGATTACTTCAGTCCCTTTTCTTTTGAATACTCCGATTTGATCTTTTCATTACATTTTGATTAAATTTTGCATACAGGATATATGTGAATTGATGTAGATGTATGTTAATGGGTATCTTAAGAAAAAGACTGTCTGCTAAAATGGAATTGAAGACATTTTTAACTGTAAATTGTACTGTGTTTCTATGCACTGCTGGATTTGTTAACAGGTCTCTTCATGTTATTCTCTCAGAAGACCATCTTTCAGCCATCATCCATGCCTCTACGTTGGTCTGGGAATTCACTACCTTGGTCTGGGAATTCACTACCTAATTCCTGACAAATAATTTTGCTGCTCAATGGCAGAAATTAAAAATCAGAGTCCAGATTTTGGATCAAAAGCTAGATTAGAACAGTTTTACTTCAGCCTCATAGCACTGAATTACAGTCAGAGCAGCAAAGCTACAAACATATTTTTAAAGGAAGAGTGGAGAATCAGGTGACTATCTCAGCAGCCACCAGCCACTTTGCAGCCCTGTTGGATTCTCCAGCTGTTCAAACATGCCTGGAGGGGAGCCTCACCGAGGGAGCTGCCAGCTGGCCAGGCCTCCGCAGTCCCCAGCCCTGCCCCCAGCTCCAGCCAGATCTTGCTGCTTCCCCTCACTCCTGTGCTGCCATATGTGACCAGCAGATGAAGGATGGTCTCAAGTGAGTTAAGTTAACCTGACTTCCCAGATGGGAGAGGAAGCAGGTAAAGTGAGGGGCCTCCAGAGGAGAATATAGTGCCTTTTCAAGGAAAAACAGAATTTGGGTTCCTCGGCTTCTGACATGCCCACCTGGAGATCACCTTTATGTATGCTCAGCAGAGAACACTTGGGTCAAGATCTCTCTTACTCTTGGATACTGCAGCCTTCCAAACACTGAGGCAAAAAGGATGGACTGACAGGAAGCCCTACGGAGGGCTGGTTAGGAAGGTAATACTGCATCCTGCTTTGCTCTAATTCTCCACTAACCCATGCTCATTTATAGGCAGGACCCAAAACCTGTTCATCCTTGCACAGATTCATGTCTGGGTGAAGGAGGATGCAAATTCAACCATACCTCCTTTTGCCAATTAATCCTGTCTCACAATTCAGCTATGTTAAAACACATAAACTATAAAAATTACATTTAACTCTTCTAGCAATTAGAATTTCTGACAAGTTCTAATTTCTTTAAAAAAAGTTGATGTAAGGTATCTAGTTCTGGATGGTGCTTCTGAAAGGTTTATTTTATATTATGTATACCTTGCTCCTCATAAAGCAAGATATAACCATCCACATTTAATTTCATGTTCATGAAATGCCTCCCCTCCCCCATCCATTTCCCTCCTCAGTGCACTGAAATGCAACATCCAAGCAAAAGACTATTCTTTAGATTTTATTCAATGGGATCTAGTACATTCTGTTTTTCTGAATACTGCTGTAAGAAACCCAGTCACCCTAGTGGAAGATCACCATTGAGAGTGCTGTAAAATATAGAGGTAAAACACTAAGTTATAAAAGATGTAGAGAGAGTGAAGAAATACTTCAATTAGAACAGGACAAACTGAAATAAAATTAAGTTTTTGGAATGTCTGGAAGGAAAACAGAAAAGTTATTAAAAGCAGAGTGAGAAGGTCATAACTTTTTTTTTTTTAATAAACCATACGAGAAGGCCACCTGATACTATTGCTATTCTTGAGCAGAAGTATCAGATACTTCCACATTTTCTGCTCCGCTTTTTAAAGTTAGGTACTTTGCCCAGAAATGTGGTGAAGGATAATGAAATCCCACAGTTCACCACAAGATCACCTCCTTCCCTTCCACCTTCCTTTCTTAGAAGTCCACTTATACCATCTATTTGCTGTGACTAAGAACTTGAGCATTTACTGACTTTAACAGATTGTTGCCCATTAACAGATTGTCGGGTTGTTGGTTGGTTTGTTGATTGCTCTTTAATGGAAAATAAAAAATCTGACATTTTTCTGCTTTTATTTAGATCTCCTCCAGTTTATTTTAGAAAGAATAAAAATGCACTGTTAAAGATCATAATATATATCTAGAATATTGCCAAGAATTTAAAAAAAAAATGTATAATTCATAACTTTCTACATCTCACATAACTTCTTAGTTCAAAATGCATCTGAGTATATTTCACTGTGTCTATAAATAAAATGTCAAACCCATGTATACAATACAGTAGGAAACTATCCAACAGTGGTGAATTATTTGCACACTCTAAGCACTAATTGAAATGTCACTGTCGTATCCATTAATCCCAAAGTGTCAAAGAATAAAGCTGGGGGAGGGTGATGAGCAAGAACATAAATCACAGGCATCACAGTGAGGCCTGGAATGTGCCTGTGATGTACCTTATGAATGAAACCACAACAGCAAAGCAGTCTGACCAAAATCTTGTGTCGATCTCTTATTCCACAGATTGCAAGTCATTGTTGCAACATTCCGACAAGCTTCCATAAATTATATTTAAACTACTCAAAGGGTTTCTGTGCAAAACCAGATTTTTTTTCTAATGTGCTTTAAAAGGCAGAAAGGAATAATTAAAGCTTATTCTATTTGCAAATGTACATCCCATGCTAAAAGTTATGCAATGGTGGAAAGAATCTATTTTTCAGTCTTCAAATTACTAGTTTTCTAAAACTTTCTCATTTTGGCCCAAGGTTTCCCATCTCCTGTCTATGCCATATAGTTAGTATAACAGCTACATATAACAAAATATGTTGTCTTAAGGTTATATTTTAATCTTAAAATAATGAAGTGTTATCATGTTAGACTAAATAAAACTCTGCTAAGATCTCTTCACCGATTGAAGTTTACACTGTGCAGCAACCAAAGATGGTAGAAAGAGTGGTAACACAAATTAGGATGGTACATAACATGGCAACGGCTGAGAAGAAAATTGTCTGAGAACAACCCAGAGACCAGACATCAGCAGGACTTGCTGGAACTTCTCATTACTTTGCTGTGAACACAGTCACCTGCAAGACATGCATTTTATCCCCTGTACTGCTAGAAATCCCTGAGTGAAACAGTGAATTGGTTCATCTACACAGAGTAGTGAAGTACTGCATTGTTCACAGATGGTATTTTAGATATTAGAAACAGAATAATATGGTAGTGGGCAAGCTTTCTTCCCTGTTCCACTATTTGTTCATAAGGCAGATGATTGTTTATTGGGTGCAACCAATTCAGTTTATCTAAATGAATTATTATTGTGTCAGTATTATGAATACTATGGAATTTCTGTTTTTACAACTGGGATGTTTTTTACATCCAGGAAACTACACAAACACATATACCCAACCACCTACCTAAAAAGAATACTATTAAATTGCAACATCAAGCATACTAAAAATAAAAAAAAGGTCAAATAATCATCTGTTTGGACAGCTTGTGCAGTCACGAGACAAACTTTAATGTCATGATCACAAGTATTTTTTCAATCAGACCCTGATAATCACATCAGTTCATTTCATGCCCTGAAAGGCCTTAAGACTGTACAATGGACTACCATAAAGATGCCTGCTCTACCTGTTATAGAGTTTAGCTGGAATGTAATGAATAAGGCAGGAGAAGGAAACACAAGCATACGGTTAAAATGTCAAAAATACCCCTTAACTCTGTCCCTGGACTCCCACAAGAACCTTTTGTGAATGCTAACCAAATTGCTTGAAATTAGATTTCCCAGTTTTCCATAGGTGGCTGCTAATCGTGTAGTCATCAATTTTTTCATGTGTCCAAACTAAAAACCTCAGGATATGTATGACTTGCAGAACTGACCCATTTTACAGCTGTCACCAGAATAATTAAGATCAATGCTTCAAACACATAAGATGAAAGATACTTAGAAAAAGCAGAGCATAAGAATCTAAATATGCACTGAAAAAAAGCCTCTAGTGTATCTCAGTCACCGACTACAAAACCCGACCTAAAACCTATCCACGGTGTCATGGAATTAACTTCCTTCATATAGATTAACAGCTCACCCTCAGCGGTGAGCTCCATGCAAAACCTGAGGAAATTAATCCTGCCTTCAATGTTGGATTGAATCAGTTTTATAAAATAATTCTGATGCCATATTTTGAACAGTGAGGACAAAACAACATCTGAAGTTTTCTAAATGAGTACTATCACTCTGCACAGTAAGGCAGCAGTAGTTCTAGGAGGGAAAAAACGCTATGTAATAGAACATTTGAAAACTGTATCATAATAAATAAACTTAAGAGGAAAAATTAAAATTTCACAGACATTTGACCTTTTTTTCTCAACTATAAAAGCATACTATTTATGTAGTGGGTTTGGGCAATTCTGTACTAGACTGTAGTCTTTTTGCTGGATATAGTGATTATGATTCCATTAGGAATAACAACAGATGTCTATTTTAATCAGATACTTGAATTAAAAAAAAACAAACCACCTTTCATGAAAAAAATTTCCCCCAAATGTTAACATACTTACTCATAAATACTTTTACAAGAAGCTGTACTGTAATATTTTTTTTTAGAAGACAAAGTTTTAGTAGATTATGGAAAAATAGATGGTTTACATTAAATGACTTTTTTGCAGTGTTAAGACAGATATAGATAGGAATTCTGGAACATCTACTTACATTCACACTGTATCACATCTAAATTAAACTGCTGAATTGCTCCCATGCTTATTTGTTTTAATTCACTGTCCAGTAGCATCTGCATTAGGGACGTTGAAAGATGCTGGCAGGCTGACATGCAAGCTGTCTGGGCCACTTTTCCCTAGCAGAAAGAGCAACAGGTTTTAAGACAGAAACAAATAATACATCACTAAAAAACTGCTTATCTGATTTGATTTTAGTATACACTTGAAGTCTTAATGATGCAGAACTTAGATTAGAAGAAGAAAGAGCACATTTGTTGTTATTTCTTTGACCTGTTAGCTTTGTTTCTATTAAATCAAACAGGGAACTAAATTAAATATAAGTTAAAGCTATTATTGATATTTCTTCCAGAAATCCAACAGCCTTCATGAATATAAGGACATTTCCAAACTGATAATGATATAAATTGCTGATATGAACAGATTTGTGGATTTATTTAATTTTTTTTACCCAAACAGAATGAAAGCAAGGATGAAATGAAAAATCAACATACTGCATATTTGTAACAATAACCAGTAAAAAGCCCCCAACCTTTATATAAACCAAACCCATTGCTTTCAATTGGGGCATTCTCATAACAGCTTGTGCTAATTATTGGCACTTTAATTGTTTGAATTCCAGCTCAAAGCTTGTTGCTAAATTACTTTAAATATTCACCTTATCCATCATCCCTTCAGGTGCTTAATAAATCAGTGCTGTCAGTAATCAACTACTTACAAAATGAAATGTAGCCCTCTGCTGTACAAAATAGAAATAATTTTCCACTCACAATCTAGTTATAAACATTTCTTTTTACGATATATATGTAATTGAGACAAATTATTTTCCAAACATGAGACAAAACACAAAGCACAAATTCAGACATTAATTGGATAAATTATTAAAAATTTAGTAGAGAAAAATTGAAAGATATGGAAATTCTACTTTAGAACCAAAAAAATTAACTAAGACCAGATACTCAACCAGGTGACACCATTCTATTCATAGCACTGCAATCTTTTAGAGCAGAGAGATCTTGGCTTTCAAACGCAATTACATAAACCTCTGCAGTTTGATGTATTTAAACCATGCTTTTCAACTGGTGTCTATGTTACAATACGTATTGAAACAAAGGTAACTATTAGCACGCTTACATGAAAGAAATCATAATTACATAATACACCTGCTGCAGCACACATCACTTTTGTTTTACTTCTATCCATCAGTTAAGAGATGACACCTATTTCTCTAAACCAATGGTTTCCCAGCTGTTTTCTGCAAAGTCAGGTCAATCAATTCACTGTTGACTCACAGAAATATATAGAGGCAATGAAAAATAATAAGGATACACAGCAGTTCACTGTCCCAAAAAGTCTGGAAAGTTCTGCTTCAATACCTGAAGAGCCAGGATCTTGTCCTGAATAAGACAACTTGCTCATATAATTGAATTTTCATGTATACATAACAGAAAGAAAACTTGGCCCTAAATATTTTGTACTTTAAAAATCTATTCATTGTTAAAACATAATTAAAATGTAGACAATACAATGGAAAGCATTCATTCTCCTCACATGTCACACTGAAACATTAAATGGCTTTTGCTAATACCTCTTTAGCACTGGGACACTTTGAACTGTTAGGAGCTTTATATCTAAAATGAGATGTCAGTTTCTTAACTGAAAAATCTCAGAAAAGCAAATAACATTTTTGACCAAAATAGATGAACTGACAAGGAGGAATGTAAGAAACAGTGCAAGAACAGCATGCCTAAAAGTCTCCCAAATGCAATGATAATTATACTGGGAAAAATGCAGCTCTATTCCCCAAGCAGAACAATATCAATATGAATGGGAAAAAGAAAATGGATAGAGGAAAAAAAGGGGAAAAAAGAAGGAAAAAAGGAGGTGCAAAGGGGAATCAGTGAACCACGGTTCATTTAATTACAGTGTAGTAGGTCTGAAATACTTAATGGAAATGTCATTTTGATTTAATGGAACAACTAGTGCATCTCTGTTTAATGTACTGCTCCATCAAATCAGCTCCATGTCCTATTTATGCTGCCACTATAATGTAATAAAAGTTCAACCAGATTAATGGGTTGTCAAGAAAAATTTTAACATTCGTTTTATTTCATATGCAAATAATGTGTACTCCTCTATTGTTTTAAAGAAAAGACAAAATTTTTTATTTCTAACAAGCATCTGTAGTTAATTGTTACAATCTGGCAAATATCAATAGTACTGGAGCACAAGAGAATGGTTACAATACAGAAATGACATGTAAAAGCCACCTGGACTTTAAATAAGTATCAATGCATGTACACTTAATGTTTATTTTAAAATTTCATAAAATGGAAACATCCTAACATTTAAACTATTTCGAACTATGTAACTTGAACTACAGGCTTATTGTTCACATGACATATCAACAGATATAGAAGTTTACTACACACAGTTTATACTTAATGCAGTCACTTGATTTTCTTAAATTTAGAGAAAAAATTAAGCTACGTATATTAATCAAGATGCTGAATTTTAACTCAGAGAAATGTAAACTTCACTGTTATCCTCTTCAAAATTCAGTGCTTCCCAGTTCAAAATACATTGGATGTATGATATTCAGGAAATAATTAAATTCAAATTTGTGTTTGACAAATGAGATCTAGTTAAAAATCTATCTCCAAAATTCTACCATCCACCAATTAATCAGTTCCTTCCCATTTTTTCATAATGCATTTTGAAGAGGAAATGTAAGGACAAACATAGTAATAACATTTATTTTCTAGAATTAAAACAAATCTCAGTTAGCTTTAAAGCTTTCTTAATGGTTATTATTTGCCAGTTTCAGTTGGTTTGTTGTTTTTTTTTTTAAGGGTGGTGGTGGCCATGGTTACTGTACTTAGCAATTAAATAAATACCTATATCCAATAGCATGCAGAGATTCAGCAGGCTTCTCACATTCGCTCCAGTTGCCTCCCATTTGGAGACACTACTATTATCTCTGCTGTGCCTATGCTAATTGCTGCTATCTACAAAACCTATTCTTCCACTCAACCAATGTAAAGTTTAAGAAACAAGGACTCTATTCTATAAGCAAAAACACCTGCTAACAGTGTTAAAGGCAACTGTTTTTTCACCCAGCCCTCACATTTTGCTGAAATACCAGTTTGTAAAAAGAGAAAACCCTTAGACAAACTTCTTATATTTCAAAGGAGCTTGTAAAGAGAATCTGCTGACATATTAAATCCTTTTTTATAGGACCCAAAAGCTTTTCTCTGAAGAACAATTGCAGTAAAGAGACATTTGGCTCCTAGGAAATTCCCAAAGGGTCAGCCATATGCATCCTTCCACGGCACCTTCGCGGTACTGCTTTCTAAGACCCATGCTAGCTGTCTCAAAAGCAGCTTTCATCATTCACTATAGTGTCAGTCAATATGATTTATGGACTGCATTCAACAAAGTCAAAGCATATAGAATGAGAAATATGACTACAATCTGCTAATTTGTTTTGTATTGAGCCACTTAAGAGTCAAAGACCTGATGTCAGGCTGAGACCAGCAACACAATTAACCAGCCAGTGACAGATTCATCCATCCTCCCTGCCAGACTGTGCCAATCAAAGACAGCATGAAGTGGCATTTGGAGAAATCAGTAAGAAAACCCATTCTCTAAGCAGCCTGTGGAGGCTGTTGATTGACAGTTTTTGAATATAGCTGCAGAAAACCACCACCCTTTCACCCTCACTGCAAGCTGTGAAATTAGGCTTTTGCTGCCAATCACACAAACAATAAAATAACAGAAACTGCCATCCTCAGCATAAAAGGAAATAACAAAACTTTTACATCTAAGAAATGAAGATGGAGAATTAATTTAACAATATGAAATGAAACGAAGAACTTCCAGAAAATGCAATGAAACTAAACATACAAATTTTATCAGTCATAATAACTAAAGCATTATGTTACTTAAAATCAGGACTAAAATCCAACATTTCAACTATTGATAAAATATAAGTATACTAAAAAACACTAATGAAATTTTTAAGAATTGATTTTACTTCTTCCCCAATTTCTACTGAAATAATTAAAAAGTACCTACTTGAAAGTAATTTGTAACTGTTACTTTTCAGTAGTCATTCTTTTCCAAAGAGTTGTCCAATACTAACTTTGTACTGACCAAGCACATATCTAGAATAAAACTTCAGCTAATTCTAAATTAGATTAAAACCACTTATATATACACCCTCTATAATTTCAAATTAACTGATCTGAAATTAAAAGGTATGATTTTTCTTTAACTGTTCAAAATGAAACCGAAGAAATGCAAGTCCTTAATAATAAATTTGATCATTCAATTGATTTTATGAGATTAATGGCTACATAATGAAATTTTAAGTTGTTTTCTGATTCAAAGTATCTAATGGCACTATAAACTGCAATACAAACTTAAAATGGGATGTAGAAAACCCTGAAAACTGCAGTAATCTCAAAAGACTAAATTCTTGTAACTTTAGAAAACGGAACCATTAAAAACTGCATGAGTCTGAAATTATAACCTTCGAAAACCAATGCAGCCTCTGAGCTCTGCATCTCTGAAATTCTGCTAGTGCTTGGTCATGACATAACCAGCATACTGACACCTACTCAACATTAACAGGAAATATTTCTACATAAAATATTCAGTATTTCTAGTGCTCATGACACCTATTAGCTTGACAGTTCAACATGTGCTAAGTATTCAAATCACAGAAACGTTCATTAGAATGAACTACCAATGTCATCTAGTCCAGCCTTCTGCTTGGAGTAGCACTATTGCCAACAGTATTTCAGGTCTGTTGTCCTTTCTTCTGGCTGAGACTTCAACAACTGAGGATGGGAATTCAACAGCCTCTCTGGGTAACCTCCTCCAACACCACACTACTCTCTTCATGCAAACTTTTTCCTAATGTCAAAGCTTCATCTCCTAAGCTTCTACTTGTGACCATAGCCACACATGAATTTGTCAGTCCTACCAAGAAGAGTTTCGCTCCATGACCTTTATATCTATTCTTTAAGAGGTTGGAGGCTGCCGCTAGATTTCTCCCCAGCCTTCTCTTTAACAAACTAAATAATCCACTTTCCTAAATCTCCATTTGTAAGTCATGTGCTCTAGACTCCTAATAACTTGGAAGTCCACTGCTAGAACCTCTCTCCAGATCCACAGAGCTACTACTCAGTCAATTGCTTTCCAGACTGTAGCAATGAACACAGAGTATAGTGTGGGAATAACCAAGTGCCTTACACATTTGTTCACTTAAACAGTGAACAGTCCAGTATACATTTGTTGCTGTATACTACTTAAGTGAACAAGATTCAACCATATTAGAAAAAATAAGTAAAAGTTGAGAAATTCAGTATTCAGAAGCCACTCAACAGAATAACATTAATTTCAATACTGTCATTATCATGTAAATACTTATGCCAAATCAAAATAAACTCCTTAAAAATTGACGACCTGAAAATAATCAGGGCTTGGAAGAATTAATAAACTCAATCCATCGTCATCTTAAAAAATAAAAATTGAGCCCAGACATTCCCTTGACCCCAGGCAGATGTAGCAGAGAAATGATGGAACTTTCACAGATTCTTTATTCTGTTATATCACTCTACCCTTACTCTGTATGCATGTCTCATAGCTGCATTTTGATACCTGACCTCTCTTCCAAACAGTCTCATAGTCTCCTCTAAATTATCTCATTTGGGATGCAAGGCACACCCCATCAACCTTCTGCAAGGCTTTTAGGGGTCCTGCTGTCCCAGTGTATGAAAGCCCAATGTTAGTCATTAACCAGATCCCTGCATGCAACCACACAAGGTAGACAGCAAGTTATCAGCAAAACAGAAGGATCTTTTTATTAAATGATTAAAAATTGAAGCAATAAGCCTGCAGGCAGTTCATAGTTTTTCAGTTCACATGCTTTTTCTTCATCTTGCATCTACTTACCGACATAGCTGCATGGTCATTGTTGTTATTCTGAGAAGGAAACCAGTAAGGCAATCAAAACAAAAAAATTAAGATGTACTGTCAACATCAAAAAAAAAAAAAAAAAAAAAAAAAAAAAAAAAAAAAAAAAAAAGAATAAAAAATTGGTAGCAATAAATGGTAAGGAAAAGCTTCCAAAAAGAACAATTACAGCTACATAATTCTTTAAATTATTTTTTTAAACCTGTGAACTTATATAATATTTTGTTGAGGCATAACAAAGAGACTATAATTTAAATAACACTAATTCAGCAATAAACTGATTTTCTGTAATAAGGAACTGTAAGCCAAAATGTCAAAGTAGCAAACTTCAAATGATGAAGCATCTGTTGATATTCCCTTCCAGAATGCTTTCATGATAAGAAATAATATATTCCAAAATACTTGGGTTAAAAAATAAATGCAATGTTTATCATCCTGACTTACAAAGGCTATCTGTATGTCATTAACATACTTTGCTCAAGCAAGACTTAGAATGAATGGCTCAGGACAATAAGAATCTAAATGTAATATGACCCATTAATAAATTTTAACATAAATCTAATGGTAATGTAACTGCAGGGTGGAATAAAGCTTTTTCTTTTCCAAAACTGCTTCTCAAGTACAGTAAACGAACACAGAGGAGAAAACCAAGATGTAAAACTTAAGAGAAAAAAAGCTTCAGAGACGCAAGACATTTCCAGTGATTCAACAGAGATATCAGACCCCAACTAAGTTGTGCCACAAAGCAGGTAGGTTCAGTAAAATTGAGATTATGGTCTACCTGATTTAGATCTCTAATGTTCCAATAAAAATAATACAAATTGCATAAAGCAGATATGTTAATAAGATGTTTAAAAGCTATGTCTACATTGGTACAGAAATGCTTCAGCATACGGAAGCACAAAAGGAGACACACCCCTGTGCATTTACACAGCTTATACATACAGCTAAAATAAAACGAGACCCTAATGACAGGTACCCAAGGAACGCAACAAAAAACTGTTAAAGAACATATTATAACACTTCTACAAGACTAGAGTTTGAAAAAACATCAAAGTGAAAGTCAGTGACCCTTGAACAAGACTGGATAACTAGTGTAGCCAACCAGCGCCCCTAGTCCTAGCCCTCTAACATGATCAGGTATACTAAGGTAAGAAGAGAAGAGATTCCTCTACTTGTCCTGCTCTTTCCTTTCTGGAATTATAGCCAGTGGCTAGGACTTCTGTTCTTTGATTTCTAACTACAGAAGAGGTTCCAAGCAACCATTTTGAGTAGTGGAATGTTTCCAGCCATATAAAAATTATTATGGAAATTACACTGTGACATTAACAGAATAATCCATTAATGAAACTGAATACTGAAACTATACCAGATCTTAACTATGGCACATAAGAATCTAGCTTAGTTAATCACTCCAAAGCACTTATTATTTTGATGAGTTATGGAACCTAGTTTTGGGCTTATCTTTGAAAATGCTTTTACTATAAATTTTCATCTAATGAAAATAACTTATCACAAATCTAACCAGAATCACCATAATGAAACTGTATACACATTTTCATATAACCTCCACAGCTCATGCACAACAACATTCATAGGACTGTATGTTTCTACAACTGGCCAAGTCAGAATAGGAAGCGACACACAGGATAAATCAAAAATTACAAGAGCCAGACCAGACTAGTTGTCCATATAATTCTACACCCTGCCCATTACCTGACCAGACTTTGAAAGTACAGAATAACCTCTTCATAGGGACTAGAGCTTTCTCCAAAGGCTGACTTGTGCCCCCAGGCACATACTTCTTTCTATTCCTTTCACATTTTTCAAGTCCTAACACCACAGCTGCTTCATTCCATCCCCCTTAACACAATGCTTCATTCTGTCTGTGGCTCATTTCCAAACAGCTCTATCACAACATACATTCATGACAGACTTCTGTACATCCCTTCTCGAGAAACTGCATCCTTTAACTGCTATATGCATATGACTATTGAGGAGCAGTGCCATTTGTTCACGCTGCTTTGTATGGTAAGTTACAATGAATTTAACTATCTAACAAACTTGCTATTCTTATCTAAAAATGCTCAACTAATTTGGCACAGAAGCACATGCCTCACCCATCGCATTCACATCAATATTACATGATACATTTTGAGTGGGTTATGTCTTTTGAGTCAGTAAAAACCCAGGAGCCTGAAGAATCACAGCCTCTTCACGTGTCATCTGGAAGACCAGATAAGCCCACTGTGCCAACAACTTCAACACCTTGCTGTGCACATAAAGAAATTATATTTTACTTCCAGTCTGGAGCCTCAAAACATTCTATGCATTGAGGACTTATTCTTTATAGTCAATGTACATGGGTAAAGCACTCAGATATCTATCCATGTGACAGTAGCAACCAAGGACAAACTGATGAAAAGCAGATGTAGCTCGAAAGACTTATTGAAGTTATTCCAGACCTATAAAGCTATAAACTATTATGATAAGTCAAACTAGACTTTTTTATCTTAAAACAAGGGGAAATCGCACAACGGACTATAACAATTGGTAGACAAAACAGGTTAACAGTACCCTTTTACCCAGGACAAAATAACACAGGATATATTGGAGTATGAACAAGGATTCATTTCAATGAAGTTCAGTTAACTATAATCAAATGACTTTTTAATGATAAAAACTATTTAGCTAAAAACAAATTTGGAGAATCCAAGACCTCCATAATCTTATGCACAAATGCAGGATTTGCACCAGTTCTGCGCTGTTTGAATCAATGCAGGTGTACACAGAACCAATATGGTTAATTAAATGGCCATCTCATGCTCTAGAAAACTGCATGAGTTCATGTACTATTTGCAATTAGCTGTTGTTAACAATATTACTGGAGCGTTTGAAAGTATTTTCTAAGTATTACCATGAGTAAAGCATCATCAGCATACTGAAACACATCTGAAAATATATCTGTACGGAAAAAAAATTAAAAGTATGTCTGCCAGCACATGCACAATTCAAAAATCACATCTACCTTCAAAATCTTAGTATTTTAAAAAAAAATAATGTTCCAATAGTTTGAAATTAAACTTAATTTTGAACACTTACAGGTAAATGAGTAAAAACTTGAAACGTGCTTCTTAAAAAGTTAATAAGGTCCATTAAGTATCCACTGGCTCTTCCATCTGATTCAGACATTGTCCAATCATAATCAGCAATCTGAATAAATTCATCTATTTTTTGGTTAAGTTTTGTGTATATTTCTCCTTCTGCTGCATGCCTTGCATCCTGAAAAAAGAAAATCATGTGTAATTGTCATAACTCTAAAATATTATTAGAATGCGAATAAAATTATACTAAGCAACAAAACTGAAGTCTTTTTCTCAGATTCAAAAAATATTTTATTCAAATCAGTATTTTAATTTCTGTCTTACAATAAGTTTGAGGCTGTGGTTTTAAAAATATTCCTATAATGTATACTATAAGACTGTTTGTAATAGAATATGTCTATAGAATCATCTAAGTTCTCAGAGACAAATTAAATTAATTTTAATTTGGAAACAAAGCAATTGCTTTGCTCTCTTCAAAACAATCACCTTTAATTCAGCCTTACAAATTTATCAACCCTGACACAAAGTTTATTTGGGCTCTTTTACAAATAAATAATAAAAGTACCTAATTATTTTATCTGCTATGGCTAGAGGTCCATCAATTGTATGATTTTAATGTAATTAATGCCTTAAAGCTGCACACCTGAAGAATACTCATAATTTTTCATCCTCCTTTAAATCCTGATCATCACACATCGGGATTCAGAGCATTCCCTTACTTCCGCCCACCCTTACTTTTTGTTCTGCCACCACCCCGATTCTACTTTATGGAACAGTATAGAAGTAAAGTCTAGCATTTACTGTGAAAAGAGCTTACGATGCAATCTATCTGCCTTATTTGTTTAGAGGACATCCTCACAGATGCAACAAGATCTATGTACAGATGCTTGACAAGGTGTATGTTGCTAGAAAGTCATGCTTTTGCCAACCTTGGGTTTAAAGACACTTGATAATTTCTATGCTCTAATTTAAGCTCAACATGAAACTTTCTTCACTGATCTGGAGAAATAATTCAATAAAGACATTTGATTTAAAGTGAACGAGTCAGTTGCTGAAGGTTTTTAGAGAGTAAAAATAGGCTGGATATAATGAAGCAATATAAAAGTAGATGAAATTCCCATTGGTAGTTTCCTCTGGGAGAAAACAGTCCAAAACCACAGCACTTCAGAAAGGTGTAAATAAGAAAGGCAAAAAGGAAAAAGAAAAAAAAAATTAATCAAAATTATCAGAGCTTATAGGTAGCATCATCACAATGAGTGTGTCAAATTTAGTCTTTAGTCTGCCAGGCACTTCAGGAGGAAGCAAGAAGGCATGTGGCCCTGCCATGTATCAATATCAGAATACAATTCCCTAAAAATAGTGTTCTTACTGCCAAACCAACTCATGAAAGCCTCCACTGAACAGCTCTCACAATCCAACACACAAGAACCTAGCAACCTGTTAGCACATCAATTAAATAAATATGCTAACATCCACAATTTTTTAGATGGCTATGACTATAAAAGCTTCAAATAAAGTCAACTCTATATTTAAAGTTTCTAATTAACAATGAGACCTCGGTTTCAACAGTCTATAATGACAGAACTTGCAAATACATTTGCTTAGGTTTAGTGCCATTGCTTGGATTTTTTTGTTTGGTGGGGTTTGAGGTATTTTGTTTAAAAACTAAGTAATTTACAGAGTGGTTGTATCATCTTTACCAGTTAACATTGAGTTACTGGCAGTGGCAAGACTAATCCTTCAGTTTTTGTTTTAGAAGCCTGGTTTTGGCTATCTTTTACTTTGCTTTGGTTATTGGTTTACAATTGGAGCAGCATGCTCCCACTACTTTAAGCAAGGCATGTTGCTCTATTCCCTGAGAAAATAATGAGCAGCCAAGCATCTGGATTTCAAACCCAGAAGTTACTTCTGAGAAACAGCACTATGAATCCATGCACAAGTCAAGAAAGAGTGAGTTAGCGGTATTTAGATTTGGGATAGCTCCTAGAGGCATATGATTAACTCAGTCTCTTCTTTTAACGTGGTGACAGAATTGCATCAAAGCCTTTTGAAAGCTCACCAGATTTTCCCCCATTATAAAGAGAAAAGGGTAAATGACACAGTTTTGTTAAATGGCTTTTTTCTCAGAGGACATCCTATGCAGGATTTGATGCTGTGTATCTGGCTCTCCAACAGCCATTACACAGCTTAATGCTGAGACCCTGGGCTCAAGAACTTCTATCAACTAGATCTGCAAATACACCTATTTATCCTTAGTGTGACTGCTGATTTAAACAAAGGAAAACAATGGTCACCCAAAGCTGTAAAATGTGGCTATAAATATTGAAAGTGACACAGGTTTTTTTTATACAGTAAAATTAAACAAATTTTGGTGTGGTTTTTTTTTTATTTTAATTTCTACCCACATGAAACAATGCTCGGAGAGTTTGAAAATTTTTAACATGAGATCTTACATACAATAATAAAATGAGAAAAACAGCCTTCTAAAATAGCAGCTGTGAATTAGGTCTGAAGGCTTCTGTTAAAAAAGTACAGTGTAGATGTACTTTTAAGATCACCTTATGGAATGTAAATGTGATCAATGCTGCTAATAAAAGGAGATTTTCAACGACTCAAAGAATGGAGGTGACATGATTTGCCACCAGGAGATGAATTTAATAATAGTTGAACATACCAAATTCCGTGAGTGCTCAGTTGGGGAACTGCAGGCAGTTTTTCATTAAAATAGAGGGGGGAAAAAAAAGAGGGATTAACGAGAACAGAATTTTCTGCTATTAAGTGGAGAACACTGTGCTAACATGTTCTCCAGGAAAGGAGACAGGAGACAAACCATAAAAAAAAAAATTCTTACATGTTTGTCAGCATTCATTCTGTATTTTTCAAAAATACACAGATACTAAGCTCACTAAACACACACATAATATTCTGTGATTTCCTCCAATACAATTTAGATAGTTTATAGGATAAGTTAAACATAACCTATAGCATAAGCAAAGGGCACAAAATATAATGCAAACTTTCAACTGCATTTATTAAATGAAGTTCAAGGATAAAGAACATCTTACCTCAAATCAAATACTATGCATTAAGTGTTTTGTTTGAATGTTAGATTCTGGATCAGCACTACACAACAATAGCTACAGATACACAAATTCAGACACACATGCACTGTCAGTACACAACAAGCAGGCTAGGCAGCATAGATCTTTAGGACAGGACAAAATTAGTAAAACTACTGGTAGGGCAATGGCAACCTAACTACACTTGCTAGGCCAGAACTTTACTGTCTGGCCTTATTCATTAAATCCTTAGCAAAACAAATGACAGTTAATGGGAAAATTGTTGGTAATCAACTGGAAATATGAAGTGTCTTGCAATGATGATGTCTTATTCCACCTCACCCACCTTTTAACATCTATGCCAGAGGGGATATTATAATAGGATAGGCTACATATTGCATCAAGAGAAAAAATGAAGTACAGAAAACAGAACTACTCTCAATAGGATTAGTCCTCTTTATCCCATAAATACAAGAAATCACTCTCCTTTGTTTCAGGGTACACTGAAAAAAACCCAAATACCTAAAGTTCAAGTTGCAGCTGCTCTGGAATCCCTGATGACTTTTTGTTGTTTTGTCTTGTTTCTCTTTCAAAAATTTCTGTATAGAAGTGACTAAAAAGGCAATGCACTGGCTGAATTAACAGCACAAAGTAACCTATACAAGATTATTCTTCTGTGAGAATGTTTTCTTCAGAAAGAAATACCCAAACCACCCCATAAGCACACACATTTGCTTCTATTCAAAACCAAAAAAAGCGCTACTCAGCCAGACTTGGTCAATTAAATAATTTATGCCATATTTTATGTATATGAATACCAAAAGTTGGTTCTTTGACGTACACAACCATCTAGTGCTTGAAAGAAGTACCTGGCACTCAACCACCACCAGAGCATGAAGCATCTCTACACCTGTTCCCAGAGCCACTGCACAGGAGGGTTTCTGATGTAGGGTCATTCAGTGGCCTGAGACCAAACCATCTTTGCACTCAGCATAGCTACTCTAGCTGTTGGAATCTTCTTTTAGAGCTTACTCTTGATTATAACATAAACCAGCCTGAGCAAGGATCATAATTTTGACTAATTTATCTTAGGGATAAATCTCAGTCATCTTGAGTTACCTGGCATCATATGTATAAGTTGGCTTCAGTAATTTCATTTTTATGTGTAGGTTTCTCACTAAGAACATACATGTTTGCCTTACAACTGAAAAAAGGACTAAGGTCTTTTGAGTAATATTGTGGAGAGGGACTTCACAGATGAGGGTATGATTTTTGGTCTACCAAAGGCATCAGATGCGACTATACAAGTCACTTGGTACTTTTGCTTTAGTTTCCTACTTTCAAAAGCCTTCAGCATTTTTGTACAGATAAATACAAGAACAACTAGGAGAACACCACCTACTAATGAGATGAGGAGCCATGCATAAAAAGAAAATGAAAACATTTTTTATTTTATGGTTATTTTATACTTGGCTTACAAATGTTGCCATGTTAACTGTTGAAATTACAATTGTCTATGCTACATATGCATCGCCAATGAGTTACTTGCTTTTAGCTATGAGCTTATGTACTTCTGCCATTTATGAAAAATGTCAGAGAAAATACAGCTTGCACAGATAAGCAGTTGCCATACATCAGAAACAGTCAAGTTCCTAGTAATCATTTTACCAATTATTATTGTGTATATAAAAGACATGTAAGTAAAATATAAATTCTAAAAAGACAATTGAGTATTTTATGCTTTGTAGCACATTCTTAATACTGCTTTTATATTACTAAATTACACAATTCGAAAATATACCACAAAATATTTCTATTGTAGAATAAAAACAAATAAATACAAACATTTTAGATTAAACTAGCTGTTTTGCTTGATTCTGCTCAGAAAGGGGAGATATTACACAGACTGGACCTTAAACTGTTGAAAGCTGCCAGTGCAGTTAAGCTTAGCTTGTCATTTCGTAACTTAATAAAAGATTCATTGGGAAGAATATTGATGCTTCTCGCATATGTACATATTTCAGATCATACAGATAATATAAAACCCAGTGTTTATCTGCTGAGTGTTACAACTGAATTCTTAACAGTTCTGAATTGGTTTAGAGTCAAAAATGAGAAAGCATGCAGCTTTGTCCTCACCTCCTTTTGTTTTAAAATGCTTCATTTATAGTGATTTGAATGTTTTCAGACACAGACCTATAACAGATGACATGTACCATACCTTAAATGTAGAAAGTCCATAAAGTCTTGCAGTGTGAACAGTCACTTGTGAAATATTTGTAATGTTAGATATAAAATCCTCAAGGTATTTACAGGCTTGTTCCAGGTGTGTTGTGTTTATGATGATTTGAACAAGCTACAAGAGACAAAAAATTCTTGTAAAAATCCTTTTTGTATCACTCATCATTTAATTTTGTAAATGGTTACTTCTTTCAGCAACAATGCTACTAGAAATTAATTACAGTATTTCAGGTTACCACCTATTATTACCCGTTAGTTTTCAAGTTTGCTTTCAAATACCACTAAGGACTAATACTACAGTTTACATACAAATGATGCCATTTAAAAAATGAAGACTGCAAACACCTACTTAGTGAAATAAATCCAATTGATATTTTAGAATGAAAAAAGAGAAAAGAAAGGAAAATATATTGCCAAAAGCAAATCACTAATTTGTACCATTATTTTTTTTAAATTACTGCTATTAAAAAAAGTATTTCACAATATTGTTTGCAAAATTACGCATTCTGAAGTTACAGAATTTAAAAAATAAGGTTGTCAAGTCCTTCCGCCCCAACAGTGCTTAAAAATCTGTTTGTACATGACATAAATGTTTTTATACGCAGGACATGCATTGACATTCAGTTCACAAATCAGGCAACATACAGAATACACAGTAACTGAAATATCAGTATATTGTCTTAATTCTCACTGCATACTGCCTTTTTCAGTGAACACTAATGTAATGCTTGGTAAAATAAATTTTCTCTTTTTAACATTTTTCTCATAAAACTTATTAACTTAATAATGAAACACCTCAAAAAATACTAGTGAGCTTAATTTCATATCCTTGAAAATACCCCTGTACCAATTTCAAGAACACAGAAAACTATGTCTCAGAAGAACCATATGGCTTGTCTTACTAACATGGCAATATATGATTTATAGGGCTCTTTCCTCATCTTCTTGATTTCTATACAAGTATTTAATCTATACAAGAGGTTCTTGCAGTTTAAAAACAACGTTCAATATAACATAACACTGCTCTAAGAGCTACAGTGTAAGTCCTTCTCAGCATGTTTCAGTAGGTACCTGCCGTCTCCTGACATTGCATCTACCTACAGTGAATGTTCAGTGATTGATTCACTGTCTCACCCTGTCTTAACCAGTCCAACAAACCAACCAAGAGTCATAACGAAGAAACAACATGCACAAACCTACTAAAATGTTTTCATTGCAATTACTATAGAAAAAGTTTCATGTGTTAGAGTGATTTTCAGACTTTAGATTTCTAGATTTGGCATGTTTACTCTGAGACTTCACAGTTAATGTGAGGGAGGTTCCCCCCCCCCTTTTTTTTTTTTTTTGGTAATAGGAAGAAAAAGAAACTCAACAATCTGCTACTAATTGCTAGACAGGAGCAGAACATGAAACATGCTCTGTATGCAAACAAAGTAAGAGTCTTTGGCTTATTTCTTGAAAATATATTTATCATAAAGGAGACAGAATTCTGTCATCTCTCTCAAAGGGATCCCTGTGTAAATATACTTCCAACTAGACCCAACACTGTATTGTTATATTTTATGTAACAGATATTGATATTTTTATACTTCATCTTTCACCTCTTTGAGTTTTCAATTTTAAAGCAAACACTACTTGGTTTTATCACACCAATTTTAATACCACAATATATCTACATTTACAAGAATAGTTTTAGCACTATTGTCTTAAAACCAGCTTTGAGTATGTTTTAAAACTTACCTCCGTCAAACCTATATGAGGTTTTTTAATTAGGTTCTGTAAACAACTACTTAGAGTTCTTGTAAGCAGCAAATTTGTAGATTTTCTGAGCATATCATCTATTTCTGTTGAGCTGAAAAAAAATGTTTATTTTTATAACTATGCTGTACATGACATTACTTTGACAGTAATACTTAATTTTTTCCCTGCAAAGAGAACTTTTCATGTTAAGAATTCCCTATGCGCATTTAAATTCTGGTTGCTCCAAGTCTTCTATGATCTAACACACAGTTCATTTACCAAATTATCCATTAAATTAATTTCAACACTGAAGCAAAACTGTTATTTTTAGATTTTGGACATGTTTATTAACACAGCAGTTCAGAAAGAGTAATTTGTGAGTTTTAATGAGTTACCAAAGAGGTCAACAAGTGCTCATTAGTACGTGTAAATTATAAACAGTATCAATTAAGAATGTGTGAAAGCAAGTCATTTACATCTTTAACAGTGAAGAAGTGTGTGACTAGCCACAAATACCTTCCAGATTTCACATCTATAAATGTTATTTTATGTAATTAAAACTAAGCTCTTAAAGGCCACAGGAAGAAAGGAAATGGGAGAATTTTCCATCAGAAAAAGGTGGGATGGAAGAAGGAATGAACATGCATACAGCATGGTTTTTTTCAGGAGAAATTACTGCTAAGGAAACTCAAGGCACTGAGAAAGGAAAGACTGTTCAAAGTAATAAGAGATTCTACACAACTATTTCTGAAATGGCCAGTATCAAAGGATATTTTTAAAATCCTACATGCTTTGTTAAATAAAATATCTAGATTACTCAAACCAGTCAATACTGTTTCGAAAACCCCAGCAGTGTTTTAGACTGCTTTACGATGCCAAGCTACATTTGCTCATACATACACATATTGTACACAACACACATATATACACGTACGAAATATATGCTGTAGCATTGGGAATCATAGCTTAAATATAATTTTATATGTAAATTATATGCAAATTCTGAAACAAGCACAAATAGCAAGTACACAAGAAAATGTATTTTAATTTTAATACATATTATTAGGTCACCCAGAAGTTATATGTTACCTTATAGTCACATTCCTGATGCTTTAAGCTTACCTGCGGTGAAGTGACTCTGAAAACTTAAGGCTAGCATAAATAAATTCCTTAACCTGGATATAGATTTGAGGCACTGACTGAGACATTGGAAGCTTCTTTGGAAAGGACTGCTGTGAAAATAAAAGATAACACTATCTTACATTTGAAACTGATTCTAAGGAGAGCTTGGTATTAAATGCAACAATTAGAAAGCCACTTAACACTACCAATATTTTAACCTAAGATTTTATAGTTTTCATCAAATACAAACAGTGGTACGTGTTGAGCTGACTTCTACATCTGTTTAAATAGCTTATAAGCAAAATAGTACTTTATCACTTATTTAAATCACAATAAAGTTTGAAGACTGTGTCAAGACTCTGTAGAAAGCAATTTACAAACACGCATTAAAAAACAGGTCTCAAACTGCTTTTAATCTGAATGAGCAAGATAGATGTAAGTGGGATGAGAGGTTCAAAAATGAAAATTTTTTTTTTTCAAAAAAAAGCAGTGAAAAAAAATAAAAAAGGTTTGAGAAGTTCAACACATCTGGGATTTTCAAAACATCTTGAGAATGTTTAGGCATGTACATTTACTATCATATGTTTACTTTATCTCAATGGTTCACAAGACCAATGCAGTTTTAATTATTTTCAACAATTTGGATTAACATGTGGGAAATACTAGTACTCTGTAAGAATAAAATCATGCTTCTTACTTCAGTTTTAAAGCTGATTTTGGATGACAAAAAAAAAAAAATCCATTAAATCTACACATACCAAATAGGTATTTCTGCATTGAATACTTAATTTTTTAAATCTGCAAAACAATTAATTTTCTGTTTACTCTATGATTAATGCATGAGAAAAGTAATTAACAACTGGTATAATCTGTGGAGAATTCAATTTATCTAAAAAAAAAAAAATCATTAATCAATAGCAGCTCAATATTTGTGTATTAAAAAGCCAAGACAAAAGAGATTACTGTGACATTCTCCTAATTATATCTTTTTATTTAAGATTAGGTGGCGTGACAAATACGAGGTGTATGTGCCAGGCTATTGTGTCATTTAACAACACTAGCAAACATTTTTTTAACAATGAAACTTACTTCAAATATGTGTTCATGTGATTCAAGCAATTAATTTTTACAGAACAAGTGCTATCACATACAACTATTTTGGATCATCACAATATTCTTTCAGCAGGACTTGAGTTTCAACCTTCATAGATTCAATGATCTAAGAGAAGCAATTTTTTATCCTATAGAGCATCTGGCCAATACAGGAGGATTCAACAGTTTCTGTCTGATTATAGAGAAGGTAGCAAGAAAAAAACCAGAGCTACAACCAATTGTTTCACTTCTGAATACAGAAGGGAGTAAAATTAGATGATATAATCAAACCATTATAATCTGGCACATTCCATCTAAACAGCAGAGTACAGACAAGACTGTTTTGTTCGGTCAGGTTGGATTTGCTATGTTAAATATCTAGTAGGTTCTGGTCATAATTCTGCCTAATGTGCTGCAAGCAACTGCTATGATAAACTTACCTGTAAAATGTGAGGGTGATTCATCCTAACCTATAGTTAAAAATGAGACACTAACTCATGTTGGTCTCTTTTTATACTAAAGGGAGAGAAACTGACATTTTCAAGTTCCCCTTAATCTGTAAAAGGCATCAGAGATGCATCAAATGGAATTAGCCCTCTGGCGTGTCTGTTCCTCTCTATCAACTACACAGGCTCCTTCAGCAAGCAACCTCAACTCACACATCTTTTTTTTTTTTTTTTTCTTTCTTTCTTTTTTAAAACATGAAAACATAGATTGAATTGACCCACCCAACAGGACCTCCCAGTGCCTTATAGCCTGAGGGAACATCAGAGAGCTGAAGTGGATGAGATTATAAACAGCAACCAATAGAAGCGATGGAGCATTTATAAAGTTCACCCTCCATGTGGATTCCCTGCTATCTAATAACACATAAGGTAATACTGCAGTCTTTCTTCCAACAAACAATCATTAAGTATCCTTCTCCTCTATTCTACTGCCTAGTTGACAAAACTTTTAGTAACTCATTTATCTTTGAGACTTCTGCCCCTTTGTTAAATTTGGCTGAAGTCAACTAAACTGTTTCAAAAATTGCTAGGACACAAGAAAAAGCCTCAGACTACTTTTTGTCTAATGATGTCCTTCCACTTTACATACAGGTTTCAAAGTTCTTGTCAGAGATATGTTAAAAAAAAATGTGTCCCTGTTAATTCATCTGTAAAGCAGGGAAAAAAGAGATACGAAGTGACTTACCAGCACCACGCAGCTGGTCAATGGTAGAGTTGGGAACAAAATCCAGCCTCTTTCCCAGCTTTACCCTCAAGCTCACCAGCCCAAAAACTAAGCATCAGTCAGGTTCTGCTCATAAAATATCTACAAAAAGTGCTCCTCATTATGAAATAGCAATCCCTCTCTGTGTCATAAAGCAAAATTAAAACTGTTGGGTTCAGAGAATATATTTCACTTCTGGTGAAATAAGAGCCAAAGCTTTGTATTAATCATACATATATGTAACTATACATGCCCACACAAGTAACGTCCACACATGCATGCTAATACATCAGACAGAGAGGGAGGGAGGCTAGCAGATAAAATTATTTAGTGCAAGTTAAAAACATCTGCAATTTATTAGCAAAATATGGCATGCTAAATAGGGCGTGGTATACTTCCAACACTGTAAGGGATTTCCATTCTGTTTATCTTAGTATTATAATGGCTAAATAAATGAATTTGATGGAGAAAAAACATCCAGAAAGCACTCTGGAGTCTTACTGAAAAATCGGCATAAAACCCGTCTTTAATTTTTCATCTTCACTGCAATACTGTATTAATGACATGTAGCTGTTACATTTGCCTGGTAAATCCCTGCTGAATCACAGAATTATTTTTTTTACTTTTGCAGATATCTGTAGCAATGGATCTTATATAATCCAGCTTCCCTCCACATCAGCTACTCCTGCTATCATGTGGTTCTTAGATTTAGTTCCCTCTACAGACTCCATGATGAGCCTGTTATTATACCTTCATCAGTATTACCAAAACCCATACCTGAATAGCAGAACATAAGGAGTGGAAAAATGGCTGAGGCTATGAAAGTACATCCCATTAGAATGCTAGTGCAGCAGAATTATTTAGTCCCTTCACATCTATTTTGCCCCAGATGCTCAAACACAAATAAATAATATATAAAGTGAAATACAAAATTTGCTGTCTCTGATTCCTGTTTTACATGTACCTTTGCAATACTACAGCATATATACTATGAGCTACTAAACCCAATAAGTTACAACAAAATTTAACTAAAGACAGACTGTATTATAATTACATGAAGACTGTATCAAACTGTATTATTAATTTGTTTACAAAATTATGGGTTTCATTATTTACCCAAACATCAGATCAAATGACTAAAGCTTTAATTTTCATATTTATTTATGACTAGATAATTACACACACAGAAGGTGATTTAGCATTTTAATTTACCTAGCTTTTCAAATTCTAATTGCTTTTTAATTATAAAAATCATCAAAGGATCCGTAACTGGACTTTGGCAAACTTTAATAGCATAAAACTTTTCCTTACCTTATCGAGTTCTGGATCTTGAAAAGGAAATTTGCTTATAACTATTTTGTATTCCTCTTCATTTGCTACAGGAATAGGGCTGTAGTTGTCTGCTTCAAAAATATCCCTGGTGAATTAGTTAGTAAAGCGAAAAAAAAAATCAGGACTTATTTACAGTATCTTCCAGTGTTAAAACATGTAAACTAACATAAATTTTACTACCACACTTATGTGTGCAGCTTCAAAAAGCTATGAGCTGCAATCAATTTCAGACATCCAAACTACTTTTAGATTAATTTGAAAGTACCTTGTATATGCTATATCTTTATACTGTGTCTAATCACAGAGAAAAAATAGCTGCAAGCATTTTAACATATATGATTCAAAACATAATACAGCAAAGGAACTTCAAAAATCAACTAGTTTACTCCAGAGAAAACTATAATGAGATACTTATTATAACAGCCTCACTTTGCAGATATTCAGAGTGTCTCACTTAGGTACCAGAGCCACATGTAGTCAGTGGAGATGATTCAGAGAACTTCAACTAGGCATACGGCCACAGCGTTACTTAAGAACCCTCTGGACTTTCCTACTAGTCAAATTACTATACTGAGTCTAGAGAGCTTGAGAGCTTTACGGTCAATTTAATTTTAAGGTTTTCTGTAATACAACAGAACATATTTTACAGTAAACAATTTCTTCACATTTATCTGCAAACAGACTTTGGAAGACAGTCCCAGGCTGCACTCCTGGGTTTACAATCTACTCAATCAAATGATTCCAAGGAATAGGCAGAAACCAACCTGCATTAAAAAACCATGAAGATGTACTGGCAATGTCAGTAGTTTGTCAGGAAGATACACATAGCAGCTAACTGTAAACATTAAGACAAACTAAATTAGGCACCTAATGACCTATTGCAATAGCCTAGAGTTATTAGGTTCCTAATAAAGTGAAAGACATGTCTCTCTCCTCCATCCTTCTGCAATAACATCTCTTTGGAAACCTTCCTTCTCCCCATTAACTACAGAAGCAGCACTCAGTGGCTCTTCTCCTAAATATTTGTTACATATGATGAGTATCTTAGTCCTATCCAAACCAAAATTCATACACAATTATGAGTTAATAAATTCTTCCAGAATTACAACTTTTATCAAAAAAACTTGAAGTTAGACAAAAACAATAGATACAATACAAAAGGCACAATTATTTTGAAACACTAACCTGAACAATCCAGACCACTTTTTAAGAAGTGTTTCATTGTACTGGTCTCTTATTTCAAATAAAAGATCAAATAGTCGGTTCACAGGAAAACCATAGCCCTAAGTATAAAAATGAAAAGAGTAGCTAGTTCAAGAACTAATACACTCAATTCCTATCACATCACTTCAGGACTCTGAGATGAGACTTATTATTCAGTCTTGTCACTTCTGTAAAACAAATTATAGTCCTTTAAACACACCCCTACAATTAGAAGATTATATATTGAATTCTTACCAAATACTCTATCCTACGCTTTTGGTTTTCAAGCAGAAATTTGTCCCATTTCTCGATAACATTTTAATGTGCTATTTATGCATACGACTAATCTTTTTTTATCAGTCTGTTAAACATTGCAAGAATACTTGTCAATAATGTTAATTTGGTCTTTCCCCTAGATAGTGAATGATAACTGGAATGCTATTCTTGCTGAAGATCAGAAGTAAAGCATTTATAAAAGACAAAAATATACACAAATTACAAAGCTAACATTAATTTTGCACAGATATGAATAACTAGATGCTAGCTGGACAGCCCAGAATGCATACATTAAATTGGTAATACTGAAAGGGAAGAACCAAGGCAAGAAATACACCTATTTTTAAAGTATTATTGTGTAATTTTGTTCTTTACTTGTATATATGATTCAGGAAAACCCAAAACATTGCACTTACTCACCTAAAGTAAAAATATGACTCTAGGAATTTCAGTTAAATTACTAATATAGTATGTACCTGCAAAGTATCAGCAAATACTACAATGAGATTCTTCAGTTCCAGAACAAGGTCAGGATCACTGCAATATGACTGAAAGTGAGAAATTCTGGTTTTGTTAAAAGGATTTAAAATAGGGGACATATGTTTTTCAAAGAGTATATCACAGAAGGTTAAACTCTCCAGCATTATCCCTTTACCTGACTTAGTAAAAAACAACTTAGACTTAACCCAGCTACATAAAAGTTTTGTTAAATTTTTATATGAACTAGCAGTACTATAAAAGCTCAGAAAAAGTAATCTAAAATATGGGATTCAATAAATATTGGTATGTTGTACTGAGATTCAAAATCAGCAAATTCCATTTATTTCAGTGGAACATAAGCACACATAAAAATGCTTTGCTAAATCAACGTCAGAGGTTTCCAAAGGACATTGTTTTGAACTCTAAGCCTGGGTCTAACTAGTGTTAACTGGGCCACCTCAGACAGCTTCCCAGCTGTATGGGGAAAACACTACAAAATACTTTCTAAATAAATTCAGTTTACAAATTTGATGGTAAAAAGTCAAGACATTAATTTACTAAATGACCGAAATTTGATTTTCAGAGGTGTGGAGTCATACAACTAAGGCTTTCGCCTCAGCTTCACTATTTGCAATACTGGATAAAGTAAAAAAATATTTATATTAAAATAAAGCATCATGAGAATATAGTATTGGTTAGACTATATATGCCTGTTTCACATTAATTTTTGCACTTAGCATAATTTAATAAAGTAATGGTTTGGTTTACAATACCTCATAAGACAATGTACACTTATCTAATATTAGTCTGTGCTAGGATGACATTAGAAAGACATTGTGATAGAATTGGTTTTGATGAGAGTTAAGCATTTTGAGAAGAAATATAATAGTGATCAACCACATGACAAGACAATGAAGAGTTCTTTACATTACTTTTACTCCTTAAATTACCATGTTCTTACATAGGTGTATAAAATCATACGCAGACAATTAAGTTGTAAAGTATTTAGCTTAAAAAAATTACTAATATACTAAATTTATCCCACTCTTCTAAAATGAATTAAAAAGTATAAGAACACCTCATGTATCACTGATCAGTAAAGGTCCTATGATAAAACTACAGTTGGAATCTGGACTTTTACCCCATTTTTCCTCAGTATATAAGAAATATAAAATACTCCTTGAATTAAAGATCAGTTGTAATAAAAATAAAAATAACATTGCATAAAAGAACTGCTTCGAGCAAACATTAAAAAGGGAAAGATTAAACTCTGCTATTTTTTCCAATAGTAAAAGTTACACCAATAGTAAACTCTGAAGCAATTTACTATCAGTCAAGTCTGAGTGAACAATGGTATTCCATTGGTTTTCACAAAGGAATAAAATCAGCATGCAGGTATTAAGCATCAGGTAGGAATGTAACTTTAGGAGACATACTTTGAATGTACTGAAATACTCAGTTGATAAAGAATTTTTCTAATACCTTTACTTCAGCATAAACATATTACTACTATAGCATTGAAGACATAGCTCCAAGGCGTTTGCTGGTGGAGTTTATTTTGGAAACACTGCATTTGGAATGATAATTAGGAACTATTTCCTGGTGGTGCTTTCAGTGCTGAACTATTCAATCTGATCTAATGAAGAGGTCAGTTGAGACTAATGAGGAAGGATTGCAATAATAACAGCAGATTAACTCTGCATATTCTCAACTGCTGGACTAAGAGAAGGTTTGGAAGACCCAGTGAGTTGTAAATCAGTGGAGGATTATGCAAATAGCCCATGCCTGTGGATCACAGCCTGATACTGTTGGGAAAAACAAAAGCTTGGCAGGCTCCCTCCCAAATCTGAGCAATTCTTAATCACAAGGAAAAGAAAACACGAGAGAGGTGTAATTTTTCACTTTGTTACTATCCCAGCTTTAAATATACAGAGCTCTGAAGTAAGAGGATTTAAACTGCAATACTGATAAGACTTCTCACTTACTGAATGTGTTCTAAGGACAGCAATGATCTTGGAAAGGGCCATGTTCCAGAGTTCATCAGTATATGTTCTAGTTACCAATCCTTGGGTTACGTGCAAAATGTGGTCTTCTACTACAAAGAAACTAAAACAAAATAATGCTTAAATTATTAAGTTGTTTTATCAGTTTAGAACAAATTCTACCCTTTCTCACACAAGCACAGTAAAACCCACTCCCACTTGAGCAGCAGCACTTTGGTAGGTCTGGTGTTCTGCTTTGCCCAGCATGAAGTCAAAACATGAAATGTTTGTTTTCAGCTCTGGTTTTGGTTTTTGTTTTCAGCCCAGGTTGCTGAAGGGTCCTTGTGGGGCACTGTACCAGCAGGATCTGGATGCTCTTCCCCTCTCAGATCCAGCAACAACCACCTGCATGATTTGTGCAGAAACTGAATCTTGCAGAAAGAAGTTTTTGGACAATGGGAGAATACAGGGTGAATTAAGCATCAATATAGTAGAACTGTAATAAATCTTCGTTTAGAAAACTTACCCTACAATTTGACTGAAGTATCTTCTATAGCCTTCTACTGTTTCATGCTTTCAGTGAAAAAGAAAACAAGTTTAGGAATAAAAAAATCACAAAGTATTAGCTACAACCCAAGCCAATTCAAAACCAAAAGTATCAGTTACCATGCTTGACTGTGGCTGTAGAACTAATCTTGCTTGTTTCCTTCTTTGTTTTCTGTAGTAATTTTCAAATATCTCTCCATCACCCTAAAACAAGAACACTGTCTCAGTATGAAAAAGGAACTTCTTAAATTAAGGGTAGAATTCTCTTAAACTAAGCCACATATTTTGCATTTATTCCACACGCAGACCTCCAGCTGACACCAGCAAAGTTTTGCATGCATGAAGCATGCAGAAATGATCTTTTTTTTTTTTTCCAAAGTGGCCTAGAGAATGATCTATAAATAAAGTTTTGTTCATGTGCCTACATTTTGCTAAAAAATAATATGTATTTTAAGTCATAGTTATGTATTTAAACTACAGCTTTCAGAGTATGTTAGTATTTATAGACCTATTATGCACATTACCTATTATTCTGTAACTGAAACTCATTGTGTCCTAAAGCATTTAACTGGGTTATTCAAGAAACTAACTGCATTGTAAAGTTAAGTTACAAAAATGTTTCTGTGAATATATGATACATCTGAACACTGCCTGCATTAGCTTTGCCTAAGAAAAAAAACCCACAACACATTTATTTAATATTTGTTTATTCTCTTTGGAACTGGTATATATATATAATGACTGTGGATTTGGATTTTTCTCCTGTCATGGTCCTGAAAAATACAATGTGCTCTGTGCTTCATGATCATATTGTGAGGAATTCAAGTGACATCCTGCCCATCTCATTCAGATGACCATTCAATAGAAACCATCTGTCCATTTGAAACCAGTGCTACTTTGGTTCATCTACCTACTGAAGGTAATGCAATTCCTACACAAGCAGAATAAAGCTGCTTAACATTTTTAAGATTTGTTTTTACTTCACGAGTCTGTTATTTGGCCAGTGCTAGCTAGAATTCCATTACTTGGGCTTCCAAAAAAATCTAATTATTACAAAGATATATAGTATTAAGCTAGCATTACTTGCCTAACTCCTTTGTAAGACATAACAAAGAAAGTTTAAATTTAGTGGTTTAAGTACAAAACTAACATTTCATCATATTTAGAAATACTGCTAACCTAACAAAATCTAAAAGTAAGAGACTTGACTTAAAAACAATACTTGAAGCTGAGATGCAAATTTACTAGAACACTTTCTGTTGCAGCAGAATTTTACAGTGTGCTCTAATTCATACTAACACATACTGATCAAACATATTAACCATTCACCTGCAGCTTAAATATTCAATGCAGTTTTCAGATGCACAAAGATATTATTGAATTCTACTTCCAATGCCAAATTTCTAATCAGTCCTGACAGAAGCTTCTCAAGTGAAAAAGAGTAGCTGTTCTTCTCCAATCCACACCAAAAATTGAGATGTAAAACATCTTATGATTATTTACAGACCATGCTATCCTATGCAGTCAAGATCAGCATTTAGGGCATAAACAACTATTTTAAACAGATGTTCTAAAGGAATCAGCAGAATACAACAACAACCCTGATGATTCACTCACTGAGTAAGTGAAGGAAAGGCAAGATAAAATATACCAAAGCAATGCATTTGTTTTGCCCATCTTCCGAAAATTCATGAGTTTCTATCAATAGAAATAATAAATTACTTCATGTTAGGTTATAAATTCTAGGAATATTGGTCATATATTAAATGTTGTTTCACACCATAGTTACACTTATTTTATACTGCTATATAGCATTTAATTAAAATGTAACATTACATGCCAAAGGAATCAAGGGTGTTTTCACCAGACTTCAAATATAGAGCATCTCACATAATATATGGGCTAAAAAAATCTCTTTATACATGTTGCCCAGAAATTTCTACTCTAAAGAAAAGTTACTCATCACTAAATACAGTTTATGTTTGGTATGTATGTATCTTGCAATCACAATACTACATAGTATTCTGAGGTATATAAAAACCTGCTTCAATATGAAGAAGCAGAGTAGAAAAGGTCTGTCCTGCATAGTATTTTCTACAACTCTGTAGCGGACAGAGAATTCACTTAGAATATGACATTTGCTGTGGGATAACTCCTTGATATAGAAATGTAATGAATAGCCACCTGTTATCAACTCCCTTCCCTTGCTGTCATCATCAAGTTCTCTAAACTCCAAAAGAGATGGTTTACAATAGGAGATAAACGAGGACTCCAAGAAATGGTTAATGGACTCCAATAAGTGGTTAATGCACAGTTCTTGATAATGCTACCATGGCTTATTAATTAAATGATGCCAGCAAAGACAGAAACCCTATTCTGAAGACATCAACAACTTTTTTGATATCAGAATGCACTTTAAAGTTGTTGACTGTCTTCAGTAAATTTGAAAACTCGCAAACTTTCTGTGCACACCCGAAGAGCATATCCTTGGATCAAGGATACATCAGGATCCTTGTCGAAGACATAATCATATATTACTTTAAAATGTCATCAATTTTACTTCCTGTTCTTTTATTATAATAAAGGAAGAATAAGCAGATGTTGTTAACTGGTGCATTTAACTTTGCACATTCTTTTTTATATGTTATTGCACACTTATTTCCTCCGTAAAGAGAAATGGTTGACTCTGTTTTAATAGTTCTGGCAGCCTGTCTTTCTGTTCCTCCTGTTCTTTCATTGAAATCAATAAATACTGATGCTTTTGTTTGGATTTCTTCTTTTTTTTAAAAAAAAAAAAAAAAAGTAACAGCAAAATAACACTTTAAATATTATTTCAAGATATCAGCTTCTGTGTTACACAGCAGCTGAGAAATAATAAATAATTTCTTACCAAGTATCCTCAAAAAAGTTTTCATCCTTGTTAGCTTGTGCATTGTTATCTCTTTTACAGCAGCTAAAATGCGTTATTTTGTCTCTACCTTTGAATCCAACCTAATCTGCCTGAACACAGCCTGTCACAATCTCCAGTTTTTTGCTTGCTATTTTGCTCTACTATTCTGATTTCCACAAGAATCAGACTGAATACTCCTACATTTTGTAATATTGATCATATCCCCCCAAACATCTGGGTAACGTGGAACACCTGGGGGAACTGCAAAAGAGCCAAAGAACACTTATGTAATTAATGTCTTGCTGTGTGTCCTTTACTATGCATATAAAATAAAACATATAGTCATGCCCTGAGTTCCATAAGCTACCCATCTCAGCTGGTTCATCCATTACTACTACTACTACTAGAAGCAATAGGATTGCTTGCTTGGGAACTATACGAACATGAAAAATACAAAAATGAACATTCAACTTCAAAAAGTAAAGTATCTTTTTGAGGTCACTTTAATACATACCAAAACTGAGTAGATGTGCAAACACCTATAGACTGGAGAAAAGTCTACAAGATCTTGGGCAGTTAAAACCTGAAGAAGAAAAGGTAAAAGAAAAGTATATAGAGCATAAAAAGCATATAATCTTCAAACATTACCAACAGAACTTGTCCACTTAATAAGGACCAAAAAATGGATAGGCTCTATCACAAAAGAGTAAATTAATTGCTTGACTCCCACCTCCCTTTGTACTATAGTACTAGATTTTGTGTTATAAGACCAGACTCTTTTCACTGTGTTTTCAGAGAAACAGATTAAAGGTCTAAATACTTGCTGGTTTATTCAAGTTATGAATACTGAGTATTTGATAGCTAAAAGGGTTCTAACACAAGCTGAAGTCCTCAACACAGAAATGCTGGCTTTAGCAACAGCAGAATATTCTAGTGGGCCATTTACAGTAGGCAGGTAATGTATAATGTAAATTGCAACTGAACTCCAAAATAATTGCAAGTTCTATCCAATTCAATGTCCCCAAACATCCCCTAAAATGCCGATCTGGACTGGTGTCCCTTGAAGTTGTTCACTGGTTCTTCCTAACTAACACTGACCATTTACAGACAGCATACTGCAAGTTTTGTTCAATAAATATAGAATATTCCCTTTAAATAAGATGTAGTTATTTAGTATAAAGTTACCTCTTCTTCATGTTCATCATCTTCTTCAAACGTTCGCTTCAATGTAATTTCATTCTTGGATTCCATAAATCTGCTTCTACCTAAATGCACATTCCGACCATAGCTTACATTATTCTGCTTCTGAAGAGCGGTACTAAAGGTTTTCTGCTGCTGTGCCTGTTTATAAGAGTTGTACCAACAGAGAAGGATGTAATGCAAATTTCATCACTGGTAAGTATATGCTATGACATGAAAAACAGGTAGTGCTATTGAACACTTATCACTAACTGCAGGATGTGTGTCTTCATCCTACACCAATGATTTTGTTTTTAATTGATTTGGAATGATAAATATAACTAATTTCTGTGTAATTTTTTCCTAATCCCCAGGAAACATTTTAAAAATTTTTTCTATTTTAAAAAAGTAATCTGTAATTTTCCTGATCATAAATTGCAAACAGTAAATCAATATTTAAATGAAGTACAGTTATCACAGAAACAGTTTCTAGCTATTTGTTTGCTGTATTCAGTTAAGCAGCAGTCAGCAGTCAGATGCAGAAGTCAAATGCATTATATTGCCCTTACTACTGAAAGAAATGCAACAAGGTAGCACAGTACAATCTTGTGATTAAGTTTCATTTATAACAACACTGCATTTTACAAGAACCTTAGGTGACAAATTGACAACCCAATCTGTACTCTGCCCAGCAAAAAGTTAAATGAAAACTTTACTTGCTCTCCAAATAAATTTTAAAAGCATTAACTGCTTTAAAGCCTGCCCAGTAGCAGCACTTTGAAGTGGCAGACTGCTTTGTGATGGAACAGGTAAGGGCTCCACCTGTTCCAGTCTCCTCCTGGCTCTCACCTCAGTCCTCTGTATTAGTAGTACTTTAGAAAGAACTGGGCAGTTATCTCAACACTTCTTTTATTCACCCTTGCCAGTTGGCCAGATAGACTGCTTTTTGTTTTGGTGTAGTAACTGCTGAGTTGTGGACTGTCTAGGAGTTGACTACTCAAAGGATTTCACAATTTTTTGCAATTTGAGATATACAGCATTTCTTCTTCATTTCCCAGGGAGGAAACTACTTCTTGTCCAGCACAACAGATATAAATTTGGAAAAAAAGTTTGATGCTACTGAGGTGTGACACTACTGCTTCCTGTGTTAGACAGGGACCACTAGAAGTGACAATGCCCAGAAGAAGAAACCACCCAAGATATTAGCAAGCATTTCACAGCTCAGCATCTTTACTCAAAGGTCTATGTGATGACTATAATCCTTAGACAAATCTTTTGGGCTATCCTGAGACTATTAATACTGATATTTGTAGCAGATAACAGGACTGAAGTCATCCTGCTAGGTCAGCTTACCTGCTTCATGGCAGTTTCCCCAATTCTGTCTGAATGCTTTCGAATACTCTCTAAGAAATCCTTGAGATCTGACATGGATATTTCTTTTATTTCTTCACGCAGTTTTGGAAGATTTTCTATCATTATCTGGCAAAACCGGTATTGGCTAACTCTAGGTAGATAAAGATTTTCTAGCTGTTCCATTGTTTTTAAAGCAGAATAGTATCTACAAAGAGATTAAAATCAAATTATGTATCTTCTTATAAAATTTTATCAAATACAGGATATCAATATCATGCATGCAACCAATATACATCTAATAAAATTACTCTGTTCTTAGAAAAATTAAGAAACAAAAGGTCATCTACATAATACTTTAGTTGGGGAAAAAAGTCTGTCATAGTGCTTCAGTCAAGTCAGTATGTCATTTTTGGGAAAAAACTGTCATAGTGCTTCAGTCAAGTCAGTATTTTAAGTAGGCTCCTATGATATTAGGTGTTCTGACCAATAGAGTCCCAACACCACACAGAGCATCCTGCAGAATGGAGACAATGAAGCCATAACAACTACCTCCCCTTCTAGACTGAGTTTGATAGGGTTTTTATAAGTTCTTTTTTTCTGAAATACAAATTGCCAATCACTCAACATTGCAGTATATGCACCAAACAATGAAAAATATCTTGGAAAAGTGTGCCTGTATGTATCTGTCTTCTTTAGGTATACGTTCACATATACACACATCCACACCCACCCTCTTTCCACCATCCTTAGGCTGGAAAAAACATGTATACACTTATCTCAAGCAGTATTTTTTCCAGCAGTATATAATATTTTGCTGTAAACCATGATTCTATCCATCCTTCTGACAAAATACAGTATATCCCACCAAGAAAACAACTACTTTGAACAAGCATTAAGGTCAGAGGGTTTTAAAAGAAAACCAAACCAATAAACCCTCCATAATTTTCTTTATTATTCCATGTTCTGTTAGCTTACAGACTATTTGTAGAAAAAATATGTAAGATATGGGCTGAGAGGGGGGAAAAAACAAAACACCAAATACTTCATCTCATGTCCATACACTATGAAAATGTTGTACAGTATATTCATATCTATGCTGTGAAATTTTACATAAGGGACAATGACTTTAAAGAAATACACAAGTTAAAACCAAGTGTAAAAAGTGATGATTTAACTGTAAACTAAAAAATAAAAGAAAGTAACAATTTTACAACAGAAAGCTACCAAATACTGAGACATCAACTCTTACTTGTTACTACAGTTATCTACCTGTCTTCACTCTCAGTTCTCTCACAGGTTACAGGCATTGTGGGGCCAAGACTTACTTGTTAAAACCATTTATCAACTTCAGACCTGTAGCATATATGTAAAATTTTGATGCTTTCAGCTGAATTAGGGAAGCATTTGAAGAAGAACATTTTATTTCAGGGAAACTAATTTTCCATGCTTCCTCTTAAAATCAGTAGAGATGAACATCACCAGGAGGTGATTCAGAGCTGAGTCAGGCTCTATATGCCTGTTCCTGAAGTCAATACCCTTCTCTACTTAATTTTCAAATGTCACACAGGCTCCTAAGGAAGAATGCTTGTGAAAATTTTCACTTTACTGAAAAGATGAAGCAAAATAGCAGTGGGCTAATTCTGAGATGGACATCTAAACTAAGAAGGGAATAAACAGAAACACCATGAACAACAAATCTGTGATGTCAACAACATTTTAAAGAGAGGTGCAGGAAACAGGTTAAAGATGAACAGGACTGCAATTAGTCATAGATGTGACAATAATTTTCCTTTACACAGTATTCTTACCAGCCACTCTGCCCAGGAGGCTTTTGAAAAAATGCATTTAGTTTGGCCTATTAGAACAGAAAAAGGTGAACCAATGCCTTCTAGCTTGGTCTTGAATAGGAAAGTAGAAAAGCTGAGATCAGACTGAGTTACCTGGCTATTAGTTACAATCCTTTATTTCCACAAATACAGAGCAATATCCTGAGTCCATTTTTAGCTTTTTGTACTGTAACTTTAGTTCCTTATTCTTCTTCAAAGTTCTACACAATCAGTACTGGAAAATTATTAAATTATTTTGAAAGGGAAGAAGATTCAGAAAGCTGAATGTGAGTAAAGTCCCTTCAAATGTTCAAGAAAACCTGGAAAAGTGTCCTTCTCAGTTCTTTTGCTTCTGGATATTACTTTGTAGATATATTGAATAAATACTTTTACAATTCAAGCTGCTGTCTCCCCTCCTTTATACAAGTAATAAATTATTAATACTACAGTCATAACTTGTTTCATTCTGAAATAAATATATTGTTTTTAATTTGTCAGTCAATACATTTCTAAGCTAACAATTCAGCATAGCTGGAGGATGGGAAAAATCTTCTCTTTTATTCCGGAACACAACTGCTTTCAAGAGACTGCAAATAAAGAGGTTTCAAGTGTAAATTAGGAGCTTTTGTTTATTATATACTTGGTTTATATAAAATATACATAAGGCGATGGGAATGTTGCAGATAAGAAGGGGTCTGGGGGTTTTATGTGTGTGGTTTTTGTTTTTTTAAATAGTAAATGAGCAAGAGTGCCACATGGTGAGACTTCTGGGGAATAAAACTATAATAGCATCAAAATGGTATAAAAGGTTTTCATTTAAATTATACAGATCAGCTTATCAGAACACTGTTAGTTCATCTGGAAGGTTTTTGACTGCTGTCTCTAAGATCAGAATTAACATAATCCATTTTAAATCCATTCTAGAGTCCCTTACTAATTATATATATACAGAGCTCAGGACCTTGCCCTTTTAACATCTGTTCCGATAAAGCACTGAAGTCTTATTAATTTGAAGGTCATCAGCAGGTCAGGATTTAAACTGAAAAGTTTTGCATATCATTTCATGGAATGATATATTTGTATATTTTGCTTTAAAAACATTCCGTAAATTTAACTCAGTGCTGAAAATTGTGACATTATTAGTTCTTATCATATAATATCAATCATATAAGGTGAAGATTGCCCATTTGACTACAAATCAGTTTAAAAGTATCTTCAATGTTATTTTATTCATATAAATATAGCAGTCCTCTGTTTATTCTTCTGAACTAAACTAGTAAGAATATGTTCCCCAACGCAAAATTTATAAGATAAGCTTTGAAACTGAAGACCTAAGTTTGAAACACCAATAGAGGTTATATGATAAGACTGTCCAGAACTGATCCACCTTGTCATCAGAAGCAGAAAACTCTTAAGATGCATTTACTAACATCTCCAAACTGTAAGAATAGAAACTTCTAAAACTAGTAAGAAGCAGGACTGGGAAAAACACAAGAACAACATCAGCACACCCCCACCCCTCCCCAAAGATTAATCTTAGTATTTCTCATAATCTTATTCTAAAATTGAGCTGGTGTTTTACAAAATGTCCAAGTCCCAGGTACAGAGTAGTCAGGTCTGTATTAGAAAGATCAACACACAAAAAATCCAAAAGAAAAAGAAAGTGACCATTACATTAGTGTACATGAAGTATTAAGTAATGTTTTAAATAACAGAGAAAACTTTTAAGATTTTTATCAGAGGAGTGTCATTTGGAGGAAGTTAAGAGAAATACCATAACTTACTAAAAAAGACCCATCATCTGAATTAGAGCATTCAAGAAGCTACACAGATCAGAAGCAAGATGAACTCAAAGGCTGTGAATTTTACTGAGAATAACATATTTGCATACAAGCCTTTTGAGTAAAGAAACATATACTTATGTCCCAGAATTTCCTGCTAAAAACCAAGAGGAAAGCCAACTGTATCCTGAGCTGCATCAAGAGAAGCATGGCCAGCAGGTCGAGGGAGGTGATTCTCCTCCTCTACTCTGCTCTTGTGAGACCCCACCTGGAGTTCTGTGTTCAGCTCTGGGGCACCTAGTACAAGGACACAGACCTGCTCAAGCAGGTCCAGAGGAGGCCATGAAGATGATCAGGGGACTAGAGCACCTCTCCTATGAGGACAGGCTGAGAGAGTTGGGATTGTTCAGCCTGGAGAAGAGAAGGCTCCAGGGAGACCTTATTGTGGCCTTTCAGTACTTAAAGGGGGCTGCAGGAAAGATGGGGAAGGACTCTCTATCAGAGAGTATAGGGATATGATGAGGGATAATGGCTTTAAACTGAAAAAAGAGTAGTTTTAGATGAGATATAAGGAAGCAATTCTTTATTGTGACGGTGGTGAGACACTGGCACAGGTTGCCCAGAGGGGCTGTGGCTGCCCCCTCCCTGGCAGTGTTCAAGGCCAGGTTGGACGGGGCTTGGAGCAACCTGGGCTAGTGGAAGGTGTCCCTGCCCAGGGAAGAGGGACTGGAACTAGATGATCTTTAAGGTCCCTTCCAACCCAAACCATTCTATGATTCTATGAAAATAACCTTTATATTCTCATTTTATTTAAGGCAACAAACTTATTTTACAAAGAAAAATAGCAGCGTTCTCCAACTTTTGTGCTTCCCTCAGAGGCAAATATTCCTGCTTACTACTTTCCACTGAGTAAATATGAAAACCTTTTTGTACTCTACCAAACAAATGTAAGAGAGATCACTGGAATTTTTCAATACTACTGCAGAAAAGTCACATTCACAGAGATCTTGAGATGATACATTGAAATTGCAATTGAAAACCTTTCACCATAGGAACAATATTTATTTATTTTGATTTTAAATCTAGTTGCCTTAACAATCCCAAACCTAATATTTAAACTTCTCCAGCATGCAAATTTTATCAGTTGCCTCAAAGGACCACAAACTGAGATCAAGGCACTACTAACTCTGAAACTTCTGTAAAGTGTTTGTGTTTCTGAAAATCTGATTGAAGAGTTGCTGTGCAAAAAACCCAAGATCTGTGGAATACCTTCTTCACCCATAATGGTGTGGTAGGTGTTTTTAAAAACAGAAGTTATCAAACAAATAGGGTTGTGAGAACAGTGAGAAAGAAAGCAGCTGGTAGTTCAGTATCAAACTGAATTTTGATATTTTGAGCGGGTTTTCGCCAAATCCATGGTACCTCTGGGTAGTACTGATTTGCAATTGATAAAATCCAGTGCTTCATTTTGACATGATTCCATGACAATGCAGAAAACCAAGATCAAATCACCATCAGTTTTATCTGTTCCAATATCTTTCCATACAGACATGGGTAGAACCAAATTATATAAATTAGGAAGTTTTCCTATTTGCAACCTTTGTATCTTAAGGTTTATTTGAATGCTTGGAAGGTTTACACAGAGAAAGGCTGCATGACTCTCTCAGTGAGACTTAGTAGTGTAAATAAGAAATCCACTCTGTCTTTCCCACAGTTTGGAAGAAAGCTTATAGTAAGGTCAGAAAACAAACCCAAGTCTTTCAAGGCAAAAAACTCACTCTGAAAGATCATACTTTCTTTAGTCTTCTCATGGTAGATTCAAGAAGATTCCGCAACAACTTCAGCAGATATCTTTATTTATTTTTATCATATGGGGTTTTTGATAATACTTATCATGGAAAAAGACTTTGCAAACCACCAGTTCTAACAATTCCCAATTAGATCACAATCACTTGAAGCAGCTGGAAACTTCTTTAGAGACACATATCAAAATCCAAATGCACAGGCCATGGTAACAGAGATGTATAAAATGTGTTATAATCTTATTTCTGACTTAAAGATCTAGGTAGTCTAAGCCCATAGCCCCCACTAGGTGTTTTGGAAAGTAGTGAAGAAATCATGCCTCTCCCTGTGATTCTTTCTTCAGCTAAGACTTCAAACCCTCCATAACTCTTTCCAGCCAAATGTATCTGTTTAGAGCAGATTCTGCAGTTACTTCCTCTCACAAATACAGTTCTTGTCAACTTGTGTTATCCATGGCTCAGGAGACAGATTAATAGGATACAGAGCCTTTCACCTCTAGGTGATCAGTACAAATGTAGCCCATGTTCATAGGGACCAAAAGTTACTATCAAGAGATTGCTTTTTGGACTCCTCAGTAAGGCTCCATTCCATCTGTATAAACCAATATGTATTCTAGACCCCAAATCCTGCATTACCTTAAAAGTCATCTCCTGTGAAGAAAAGGAAATGGAAATCTAGTCTTCATCCTAAAACAACCGTCCCCCCAAAATATCGAATATCCACACTTTCGTTTTCCTTTAAACATCAGAAATGCTAGTTTTATTTATAGTGCAAGACTGTAAAACAATGGAATAATGAAAATATATTTTAAAAGGCTGCAAGCAAAGAAAGTCAAAAGAGAAGTGGTCTTTTTTCACAAAGACCAATGAAAGCTTTGCTGTATTAACAAACCACAGTGAAGGTTTATGAGAAAAATTATCTTTGCCCAAAATAAACATTCTTCATTGTTTTGTTAAGACAGGAATTGTGAATGCTCCTCTCTGACTCTTCCAGGAAACCTTCAAAGCAAAACTTTGGAAGGTTAATTTTGAAATTCCTTCTATCTGCATACATCAGCTATCAGGTCTGTGTACTGATGCTATGGATGTCCTTGCTATTGCTCAATCAGGTAGTGATAAAGGCCAGGATACACTCACTCTTTGGATTTGTTGTCTGCTAAACCACAAGGAAATTACCATTGAATTACCTGCAAGTTCCACAGGATAGCCACCTCTAGGCTGTATTATAGGGAATTGTAAGTTACAGGCAAAGTATTAACTGTAGCATAGCTAATGAAAGAGATATCTGAGCTGAAACAGTAGCCTGCAGCAGAGTCTAAATCTTCTGCACTCCATGTGATTTCAAGGTATGTTACATCAAAGCTATGACATCTCCCCTCTTCCTTAGATCTTTTTATGGTATGACAATGACATGTCCAAACCCCTCAATTCAGTATATTGTCCTTTGACTTTTAAGACTTCCTGTTTGGGAACTCCTTCCACAAGAAAATTATCAGATCTGAATCTCTTAAATAACAGAAATTTAGTTTTACATTTAAAGAGTACTGATGATTCTTCAGAAATCATATCAACCATCAAGTGGACCCTACAAAACCACTAGTGAACAAGGAGTCAAAATGCTAAAAGCCATCTGCAATGTTATCTCACCATGATGACATTAGGAACTATAACTTCCCTTGCAGTTCTAAAACCGGAATGCTGCTTGTCTGACAGACAAAGGCAAAGGCAGAATGCAGGCCTTGATCCCAGTGTTTCTGTATTTTCAATGTGCCAAATATAGCACACTCTACAGACTACCTTGCAGAAGGAGGTGCAATTCAGACAGCACACCCTGCAGTCTGTTCTCTGACCAGAGTAGCAAGGCCACTGTTTCGTTTACATCTTTCTGCTGAATTGCTCCAAAAGCACTGCAACATGCTGCCAGCTACTCTAAGCAGATGTCAAACCAGTGTCCTGTTCAGAGGAAATAGTAAATAGTAGTCAACCTGATAAGATCTACTACACTAGTTCACATCTAGCAGTTTTGATTGTAATAAGAGGCAGTATAGTGCCATAGCTATTAGGTTATTTTAAGGAATGTGTGCATAGGTATCATGTAGCACATATACCACTGTCAAAGATGCACCAGATTTGCTGCAATGCTGGTTGATCTGATGTGTACAGTAGATCTGATGCACTTTGCACATGTCTGAACACAGGCTTTAGAGCTGCTTTACTCATACAGTGGCCATTGCTGAGGATATCCAGTGGTATGGCAGGAGTTGGCTACCCAGACAGAAATCCAGACAAACGGTGCAAAAGTAAATCTAGATTACACAGTAGTCCTGTAGACACCTGGCTATACATAGCTAGTTCCAAATGAAAACACTCGGGTCCAGACTTGTTAGCAGGAGCTCGCTGCAGTGATGCCAGGTGCATGAAGGACCAGTGACAAATCGATCATGAATCCAGCAAGGGAAGACACAGAGCAATCGATGTGACTGAGGCTATATGAAAAGCAGGCAGGGATGAAGATGGCATTGATGTTGTGGAAATCAGGAAGAAGAAAACAGCAGCAGTGGTATTCCTGGAGTGGGTGTGCGTGAGGTGCAAGGCAGCCCCTGTGGATGACAGCTATGGGGGGTCAGAGGCAGTCAAGCTGCCACAGAGAGAGAACTGTAGATACTGGGGTTACAGCTGGTCACCTACCAGTTATAAACCATTATTCTAGAAGTGTATTTTTAATTATAGTTTTAATGGGGTTTTTTTTACAAGTCAGTTTGTCACAGAGGAAAAAAAAAACAAAACCACAACACATTTTTCACACTTCATTCTCACAGTCCTGTGTACACAAAGATTAGCATAGAGGTACCAGACAGGTCTAAAGAAAGGTATAGGAAGTGAAATGTCCCTTTTTCCTTGGATTATTAATTTGATTTAAACACATTATGATAGAAAAAACAGGTGTTAATGTACTCTGAAAGACCTTTACTCCCTAAGGATCACCTTATTCTTGCTTCTTAAACTGTTAAAAGTATTTAAAAAAATACACTTCACATTTTATAACCATAATTTAACTGCATATCATGCTTATTTAAGTAAACATTTTTCATGGCAATCACTAAGTCCCTAGAAGTTTTTATACATAATATAACATTTGTTCACTTGCAGTGACATTACTGAAACACAGACAAGGTATTATGACAAGAAGACTGCATGTACCAAGCTACTAGACTTTAAATACTTGTCTACAGTAGTGTTTGCTATTCTATCAGTTTACTTACATATGTTATATTTTACTCATAGAAATAAGTTCACTCACCTTTTTACATTCATCTGTTCTTTTAGTTTGCTGTACATTTCCAGCACTGCATAAAAACAAGCAGATTAGCCCATGGATCTTATTGTGGCTTTAGTTAATAAAAGAGGAAAATATATACTGTAAAGGACAAAATAAATCATAGAAAAGGATACACTAAATTGACCTTATTTATACCTACTGTAACATAAATGTGATAAAACTAGCAAAAAAATCCAGAAGGCCGCTAAAAAGAACTGAATTCTTAACAGCTTTTAAATGAAAAAGAATTAAGATAAAACAAAACAGTAGACACTATATGTATCAAGCATATTCATTCACTTACTGCATACCATAACTTTATCTGCATCATCAGTCTATGACCTGTCTCCATTAAATGGCAACAGTACCACCTACTGTACTCATAACAAGTGAACAGCAAGACTTTACAAAGAAAAATTCTCAAATCTGTCTTACACCGATATCACAAACAGGGTAAAACCCTTATAGAGCTGTGTGTAATCCTACAATATTGCCTTTCGGAAACATCATTTAGAGTCCTTATGTTTTTTATAGAAAAAATCCCCCAAACTGTAGTGACACAGAGCTAAAAAAAGTACAATGTTGAAACAGAATCATTAGTATCTTCCCTAGAATTCATACAGTAAAAAACACCTTAATATTCACTGTTTATCACATTAAAAATATTATTTCATTTAAAGCTGTATGTGGCTACGTTGTTTGCAACATTTATGTCTGTCTTCCCACAAAGCATCATAATTGTTCTACATCAAATATTGTAAAAGACATGGAATTTACATTTTGACATATTTTTTAAACCCATTAATTTTTTTATTAAAATGGATGTTACAGAACCACAACATAAAAAATATAATTCTTTTCCATTTTGGCTATTGTGACTTACTTTATTTAATTTGCCATCATATATAACTATAGGTCACTCACCTGGAAGACACAACTGTAATTTTTCCACAACTGTTGTAATATTCCGTTGCTGAACTCTACATCTGATGATTTCCTCTGTTTGGGCTATCACCTTAGAGATTAAAAATAAAAAAAATTTAAAAAAAGGAAAATCAAAATTAAATTATGCAAATAAATTTAATTTGCTACAAATATTCATAATGCCCATATAGGAAGCACTACTTTCTCACCTCTTTCCCAGCATCCTGAAGCCTTCGGTTGGTATCAGTAACTTGGACCTTAAAAATAATTTCACCTTTGTTAGACAAATATGCATATATTGCCCTGATGTGACTGCTCACCCTTGTAATCAGATCATGCTTCATGAGAAACTTAGAACAAAGAAATGCAAATTCAAATTAACTCTACAGCTTGAACTTGAACTTTTGATCGCAAAGGGCTTTTGTTAACTTCAATTACTTATGACAGTTCTTTCTAACAGATTCTGTGGCAAACTTCTCAAATTTACTTGGGATTTTTGAACTTTCCTTGTTTCTGTAGGTCTGTCAAACAATTCAAATCATTGACCCAATTGACCACTGGTCCCTTTTTGATAACCTCAATGAGCTCTATGGGCCATTCATTGTCTGTAAGAAATGGTGATTGCATTTTATGGTAATTAAACATTCATACTTTGCTGAATGCAAACACTGGGTGGTTGATTAACATCAAACGTGGAAATCTCCAAACCACAGCAACATTTTAATGCTGCAGGTGCAGGCAAAGCTCGACCTCAGATTTTCCCACATAGTAAGTGACTCATTAGGTCATCATAATAAGGAAGCACATTCTAGTTTATTAAAAATCTCATTAATTTCTGAACAAAGATGCTCAATGACCTCATTGACGCTGTATTTGGTCTCTTGTTATCTGAATATCCTTTATATAATGCTCTTCTAATCATAACCTCTGATGAACTATGCTCATTCTGTCTGGTGCGCATATTTTGCTCTCAAAAGTGTAAAGAGAGCTAAAAGGGACGGATCTCATAATTCACTATTCTGCTTTCTGATTTGGTAGTAAATCTTAGTTCTCAATTTTAATGAAAACTACTAACTCCACCTACTCTCCTACTCATGACAAAGTAAAGAAAATTTATTTTTCCTGTATAGTCGCATTATTTTTATTTTTCTAATCAAGATTTTAAATTTTTCTAGGGTCTGATATATAAACACATTATTAGAAAAAGATCTACGTAAGAAAGATTGGTTTTACCATATGTTGTTTTTTACCTTCTGAGAAAGCCTTTAAAAATAATTTTGGCAACATTTTCTAAAAACATAAATTAAAAAAAAATAATTAGACCTAATAAAATATTCAGCCTTGTAAATGCAAATTATTGGACCAGGCAACACAGGCTTATCACAAATCCTAAATAATCAACTTTTTTTAAATTGTTGCATACATAAGAATGTATGTGATAATCACTAAATTTTTCAGTAGAAGAGTCAATTTAATATTTTTAAATTAATTGCTACATAAAACTCTGAAAAACTATCTCCTTACCTTTAATTTTTCTGCATCAGCCCTAACTTTAAGAAGTTCTGTAATAGCATCCACAAAGCCCTGATGGTGAAAATTGCACATCTTTTCTATCTCCCTGTCATGGTTACGTATGCAGGCATCTAGTTTTTCCATAAACCTCTGATGTGCATTTGGTTGGTCATCATATACAGACCTGTTAAATACAAATAAGAAAATCAAAATTGGTGTATGTTTTTTTTTTTCCCCCCGTAAAAATATTATGCAAGGATCTTTATTGAAATCTCTCTTAAAAAGAAAATAAAAGCATGCAAACTTGATGTTACGGTGGCATCATTTGTGATCCACTCCACCAAAATCAGTGTTAAAAGAAAGAGATGGTGCAAAACTGAGAACTGAACCCAGCCCTTATGGCATTAATCCAGGTGCTTAACCAGTTACATCATGGTTGACCTGAGCCTCACTGGTCTGTTATTTACGCCCTACTGCTCAAATACGCGTACAAAAGAATCAGTTTCTCCGACCACCTCAAATAGCACAGATCGCTTTTCCATCAAATTCCACTCTTTGCTAAATATAAAGAAGCGCAAACATACAAATTTGCTTTTCTGGTATTCCTAATGCAGAGTTACCCAACTAAATCAGGGTTGGATGCTCCCAGCCAGAATGCCCAGAGCACTGTGCGGCAGCAGCCGGACCCCCGGCAGATGGCAATCCCCACTGCTCCCTGCCTCCTCCTGCCTGTGCTCAACATCTCCCAAAGCAAAACCACGACACGCACATGCCTAAGGCTGCTACCTCAGCGGGATCTAACTTTCAGGAATTACTAAAATCAGGTCTTCTGGTTTATTTTACTAATTGTTTGAACAGTACACTTATAAACCTCAAGCAGAAAATGCAACTCCTAGATAAATTACCAGTAAAGCTTGTTGAGTTGCATCAGAAATAGAAAGCTGAGTGGAAAAATGCCCAAGTATAAGAGTGAACAAAGGAGACAGGTGGTAATTTAAAGCTTTAGACTTTAGAAGAGGAAGGAAGAAGCTACAGAGAACTGTACTGGAAATCAAAGGTATGAAGTCTTCCAAGAAACAGAAGGCATAGGCAGTTCAAAAATTTGATTAATGCTTTGATATAGCAGCAACAGCAAAGACAAATAATTTTTGAAGCAGTTTTTCAGATAGAATAAGAGCAGCAACATGAGGATGATAGTCATACATACACAAACATGTTTGTACTGTAACCTATGAGTGTTCAAAAAAATCTGGAGATTAAAAAAAATCTTTAAATTGCTTTTTTTAGCCTCTGATTTCCTTTCATAATTACAAAGTTTTATCTAGAAATCCATAAGGAAAAGGTGCTTTAAAAAAAATAATCTTAACATGAGAAAAAAAAAGCTGAAGTTCGAATGGTCTCAATGTTGATTGTTAGAAGTACAGTCTTAAGTTCAAGACCCAGGCAACAGTGAGTCAAAGCCTCTAAAACTCTTGAGTAGAAAGTACTTCCCTCCCAGTCTTCTCATAGCATGACTTCTCATATTCTTCAAGATCCTCTTTTCTAACCAGACAATGGGGCTCTGCCAAGATCTGGGGGTCATCATCAACCATTTAACAAACCTATAGCTGAATGTCTGACAAGAACTTGACTTTTCAAGGAAGAGATTGAAAATACTCTTGTAACTAGATTCTTCATGCTATACTCAGAGAAGCAACTGAAATCAGAGAAATGAGAAAGATAGTAAGATGTCCTACATGCCAAAGAAAGAAAGCCAACTTCTGATAGCCTGCTTGCTATAGATAGTTTCTCAGGGAAAAATCTATTCAATAAAATATGCCTAGAATATCTACCCTTTGCTTATGATAGGAAAATAAGGCCATGGTACTGAAAGGCAGGCTCTTCCTCCGAAAGTGCACCAGTGCACTAAATAATATAAGATTGTTGACCCATGAAGTGATTCACAAAGGTAAAAATACCCCTCACTCTTTCCACCAGTGCAGTTTGAAATGACAGCTGGAAGGAGCAGATGTGTGACCATCACTCTCTCTTCCTGAGGTTCCTGTCAGACTGCCTGAAAGGGACCCCTGAAGGCTGTCCAGCACAACTGAGGTTTAAAGGGCTGTGGTGGAAGATCTTGAGTGACCCACACCTGCACCCAGAACCTGGTGCTGATGGAAGGGAGAAGCAGCAACCTGGCCTGGAAGGAAAGAAAGGTGCAAGACACATTGAATGAGCTCTCAGTAGGCAACATATGTTCTGCATCTGAAGACACAGGAGAAAGCATGTAGACCATATCACAGTTATCTGTAAAGAAACAGGGAAGAGATGAGAAAAAGGTTCAACTGATGCTGTTGTGCACAAATATACACAGTACAAGCTGGTTACATGAGTGCTGCTCTGTCTCTGTAAGAAAAGGGTCAGAGATATTGGAACCTGCCAGGTGGACACAGAGAGACATCCAACTGTCTCCAGAGTACCATTCCTGGAGAAGAAATAAAAAGATTAGGAGGACCAGAGGCATCAGATAGTGCCTTCACAGATATCAGCCATGCATAAGCTTCCACTGAATGGGCTGGACTCATCATTTATATTGCACTGGATGATAAAGCAAAAACCAGGGAAAAAAAAAAATCCATTTATTACGGCTTCCTTGAGCCTTTTATTTAAGGGTGGAGTCTCCAAGTTTAGGTCTCCTTCCCATGTTCTCAAAGGGAAGTGAGAAAGGAGTATCACTATCACAAAGACAGGAGACTTCCATCTATCGCTGTGTACTCATAACTGTAAGTGGAAACAGTAATGAAACACATTAGACTAAATATACCTAAAAAGAGAAAAAGACTATAAAAAGATGGTGCAAGAGGAACTTGAGTTTGTACCACCAAACTTTCTTTGGTGGTAGCAATAGACTGTCTTTTTGGACTTAGCTATTGCCTGATGATTCTGGGGTATCAGGTAGCTGTAGTTCAGCACTGCTGTCTTGATACCTTTTTATCAATTTCAGATCTGCCAACACTGGCAGACATGTTAAAATACTGAGAAAGTGAAATAATGTGTCATTAGGAGATTTCTCTTTAAAATGTTATCAAACAACTCCAGACAACATAGCCAGAAATTCTGAAAGCACATAGGATGTAGCATAGGCAATACAGTATTCACTGTTATAAAAATCAGTATTTTTTTTTCCTCATTATTAAAGCTACTTATATTTCAGTTTAATTACAATAATGTACTGATTGATAATTCTCAGGGGTATTATCACAATATTTAATTAAAAATCATATGGGAAACAGATGTTTAAAATGGGGGGGGAAGAAATAAATACTGTGAATGTCCCAATGCACTGCCTTAACCACAAGATTACCCTACATTATTAAAATAATTATTACTATTTTATGTTTTACATTGTACTGTTTTCTGCAGGGATACTAATAAAATGGTGATCTGTGATCTAAACCAGTATTTTGACATAGGTCCTTAAGATTTGCATGTAGTATAAATTCCACATTAATTACATATGTAGACAGCTCCATCTTGTGGGAACAATAACAAATCAACCCTCTTCAGCACACTAGTGAAAAAAACTCTAGAGACAGAACTGCTAACCTTTAAAGAAGTTAAGTCATGACAGTATTTAAAAAGAAATTCACACTTTCTATCACAAATCTCTGATCTAGGTGAGAAGACAAATTAAACAAGTTTAATAACTTAAGATGCTGTACTCTTAGAACACTACACACAAGCTATTTCAGAGGCTTCAGAAGGAAGTCTGACCTAAAGCCTTTTTGAAAGTGTGTTACTCAGGAGAGCCATGCCATCTCTGGCCATGGACAGAAATCAGGCTTTTTCTCAAAACTGCAAACACAACTGAGGTGATGTACGCTTGATTTATCCATTATGGAACAGCACACAGAGTACAGCATGGTTTATTTCTGATACTGAAGCTTTATTTTCCATACATACATTTCACAAATTACCTACACTTATCTAAATAAAGTAATAGTCGCTTTTGAATACTTATCTGAAGGTGTACATTTCAACAGATTATGGCACTGCAAGCAATCCTGAGGATAGCAATTCTGCATTTTCAGAGTTAAACTATCAGGCAGACAAATCACCATATTGCAGTATCTTGGAGAGAGATACGGAATCCTGAAAGCATCCTATAGCTAATTATTTTAAATTACAAGACAAAATTAACAGAATTTGCAACACACACACACACAGTTCTGTTGGGAAGAGAGTGAGGAAGTGGTAACTCTTCAGATGATAACTATTGCATGTAATTATGTCTACCCTAAAAATCTCTCTCTCACTTTAAGTTGCTTCACATATGTCAGTAGGGTCATCAAAAGGGGCAAATGTGTCTAGGCTATCAAGAGAAATTTTACATCTGTAACATATAATTTTTCCCTTTTTTTTTTTTTTTTTTTACATTTATACACCTGTAAATAGAGAAGCCCATGGATCCTCTTCAGCTTTATGGGATCCCTGAAGTGGATGCTGGTGGTCTGAAATATAGCACAAACCTGAACTGAACCAAACTAAAAGACATGATCAGCTTGTATTACAATTGCTTTCAACCCGTGATCTGTACAGCTAAAGGAACATATAGACTAGTAGTGGTTGATTCACACCATGAAACTCTGAAGAGCAAGCTATTTCTCAGTATGAGTCTTCAAACTGGAAAAAAAAAAAAAAAGGAGAAAAATCAATGACGCTGGAGACAGAAGTTTGTACTTGATTTGGGCACCAAAAAAACTCCAACCCCTCAACATACCATCTTAATTTTCAATCTGGAATGAGAGAACATTGACTTGAGTGACTAGTTAGATGTCAGTACTGCGAATCAGTGACAGGGCAGGTACTATTTTCATTCCTAACTGATAGGGCAAGCAAGGCACCCATGAAGAGCACAAGCAGAGCTGAAGGACTTTTTTTGGTAATGTGTAGCAGGTTATTTGTCTGTATTTCCCAGAACTCTGTATATAGACAGAGAGACTTTGTTTTCTGACTCATCCCAACAACTGGACAATATGAGTCATATTAATGCCATCTAAGTAAATACAATATAGTGCAGAAAAGACTTGAAAAAGGGAAAAAAATAATTAGGAATAGTTAGAGAGAGCTTCACCTAAAGGAGAAAGATGTCTCAGTCACTGGCTCAATTTTATTGCAGTAGAGATATTTTTACCTTGAACTTTT